TAGGATTTTGGTTGAAGACTTATTTCAATAAAAAATATTTAATTCTTAATAAATAAATCAACTATCTAAACGTCGATTATTAAAGAAGTAGATGACATCAAACAGGTAATCAGAACATTGCAGTATTTAATTTCACTATAAAACTTTTACCATGAATTAAGTTTCTTCTATAACACAGGTGAGCTAAAACAGCTATCAGAAATGCAAAATGTTCTTGTCCGCAGAACAATAGCGTCCAAATGGACCGATCCCTAAGGCTCTGGTTGATTGCTTCGACTCTGGCCTGCGACGTAGCTTCACCACTCTTATTCTTAATAGGATTTCTCAATCCGTTGAGCTATAGCTCGCTATTACCAAAAGCCGCCATTTTGTATGTGCACTCGAATAAAATGTGTTGAAAAATTATTCGATTACTATATGCACTGCTATCATGTGTCTTGTGTTTGGAGCGGTGCCATATACGTACATAATATTATTAATTACACTGATTTTAGAAGTTATTATCGTTTTAGTGTACGATTTATTGCGTTTTTCAACCAGTGGTTATATAGTGATGGTATTGTATTTTAGTTTTTTTTAAGTCAGGAAAATAAACAGGATAATTTAATATGTTAATTTTTCACTAAAATTCTGTCGTTTCAATTACGACTTCTTGGTACACTTGAAAGCCTTAACACTATTGATTAGTTTTCCTTGTCATTATCACATGTAACCATGGACGTATCATGTAACAGATAATGACAAACTTAGACTATTTTTAAATGCTTTTAACACGAAGATAAATATTTACTCCAAACTTTAATCCGGTGAAATCGTAAAATTTCAAAACATTTTACAGTTCAATTAAACAAAGATCCAATTTCATTTCGTTTGTGAAGATTGATTGAAACCAATTTTTATTACTCAGTCGCCGATCGAACGTATTATTAATTCGTTTGCTTTTAACATTTTCAGATGCTTGAGATAATTACATTTGCATTTTTCAGTAAATAATATAAATAGTTATCATCGTCATACCCTTAAACTACAACTATTACTTATTAATGATATAATATACTTATAACAAATAAACCAATGTCAAAGTACATATTACAGATCACAAAAGCGAAAGATTTTATTTCATTCCACTTTGGTCCATCCCCGTCCCATTATGTAACATCATCTAAGATTTCCATTAGCGATTTCTATCAAATGAAACCTGAAATGATTCTGAAACTAACAATACGATAATATGTACAACGTTATATAAACTATGTAGTAATCGTTATAAGATTATATTAAGTTAAGAACGCGTAGCAAATGTGCTACGAACTGCTACGCACGTAGCGCTACGATCACCTTTGTGTAACGAGGTAGCTTTCAAATAGAAATGGCACATAATATGAAAGGTGATAAAATAATACAACTTTTTCTAAAAATACATCTAAAATATAGTAAGCACAATCTTCTACACGCTTCAGTGTATATTGTGAGTACTCTCCAATAAATTTCCATTCATTCGCACTTCAGTTTTTTGCGCGGATATATTTATAAGGTTCGAACCTCGGCGGCATTCGCAAATGGTTGGCACGGCAGCTATCAGACACGTGACCTCAGAAATAATACACAGAGGTTCGGAGTGATGGCGATTTGGAACAAAACCAGAACCTCTCCTAGTGTAATGTGTACCGAGAGACTTTCTTCTTTACTATGGAATGTCGAATTTGATAAATAATTTTTCATTAAACAGTTGACTATAAAAGTTAACTTTTATAGAAAAAAGAAAACCTTTAAAAAATGCATAGTTAAAATGGATTTTCTATTTTCTAGTCAATGATCAAATAGTTCAAGGTTATAAATTAATCATCAACAATGATGCCACAATGTTATATAAGCATTTTTTTACTCATACTTACTTTGTCTTTAATATGGACGTGTTAATATAAAAAGTCCAGCCACATCACACAACGTATGTGAGAAAAGCTGATTTCTCCAAGGGTTCTCCAGCCGTTCTGCATAACACAAGAACTAGCCACATTCAGCCACATTGTGAATAAATGAGCTCGACTTATCAATGCAACACCGTGCATTCAGCGACCGAAATGGCATAACGAAGCTGCGATAGTGGGAGGATTAAATACGTTATGTGTGTGAATATGTTTAAATTTGGAAGTATTTAATTCATATGATTAGGTATTCGGTTGTAAGTAATGGAAAACGTACAGTTACGAGATAGGATTTAACGAATGTTTTGAGCAAGTTTTACTTTCAACCCCTTCGTAATTAGCATACCCCTGCTTTTTTATCATATAAGACATTCATTTTAAATACGTATATATGTACACACTTAAGGACCAATTCTTTAATCAACAGTCAATTTTTAACTGCAGAATAAAATTGACATTTAATAGTTTTAAATCTGGAAGTATTGTCAAATATTCAAAGTTATTCCTCGCTTAAAATTTATCTAGCTTTAAAAAAATCAGCTGTAAATCTAAATACCAATAGGATAAAAATTACTTAACAATAAAATACAGTAGAAGTCTTTCAGGTAAGTTTCTAAAACCTCTAGTTGTGGTCTAAAAGTGTGAATATGCGGCACGTCTTTTTTAAATCACTATCATTACGTCACCCAATCTTGGGGCCTAACAACCGGCTACACCAAACATTTTTCAATCCCTACAAATAGAAGGCGCTCCATAATACAGAGATCACGTGTCACAGATATCCAATAGATACATACATGCTCATATGTCCTTCATATTCTTAGAAACTAGGTCTACGTTACCTAACTGAAACGTGGATAAAACGGAGTAATGATGCCTATTTTTTGCCTAAACCATTTCACTATTGAATACTCATTAAAACTTACTATAAATCTATGTTACAACACTTACACTAGTTATACTTGTAATATTTGCTCACATTGGTCAAAGATTTTTGCATTCGTAGCAATAGTAGAGTGATTTCGGCGATCGTAGCACTTCGTAGCAAACTCGTAGCAATTTCGTAGCACTCCTTTTAATTGCTCACAGACTTTGTAGCCGTTGCTTCTGTGAAGGTTTTTAAGACTCATCAAGATTATCACAACCTAGAATATCTCAAAAAGGTTTAAAATAACTTCTACATTACAGGCTTTCCAGGTCTAAGGTTCCAAAACGCGAGATTATCGATGCTAAAAACATATCAGTAAATACAGTCGTCATACGTAATCCATGATATCCCTTATTCGTATACTTATTGGATTGAAAAAAGAGATCAAACGAGATTGAGACGCGAATACCTTTAGCATTAATGTAATATGAAAAAAATATTCGATTTGTTAAAACGAATTTGTATTTGTGACATAACGGTGCGAGAGAACGTGGTTACCATGTTGTTTTGATCAATAAATAATTTAATTTTGTTCGTTTTCAGAGCAAGTTGAATTTAATTACGTTATTTTTTATTGAGTGTTATAAATTGCCGTAGTTAATAAAACTCTCGTGGATAAACGATTTCATGTATTTGCTTTTATTTCGATTCGTTCAGTTCTACAATTGTTTTAAATAATAATTAATAATGTTCTATGCATCTGAAACATAAAGTACAAAAATACAAAATAATTAATGAATTTCCTAAGACATAACATCACGCCTTTTGTCTCCGAAGGCGTAGGCAGAGGTGCACATTACGGCACTAAGTCAATGGAACAATGGATACAATGTAACACAATACACAGTGTAAAACAATTCCACTGCACAATATAATATATGAATTTACTTATTTTATTTTATTGCCCAATCAGTTCTATTTATAAGCATTCCAATTTACAGTCACGTGAAAGGTCTCAGTTCCCTATAAACTGTACCTGGAGACAAGATGATATTTATGTCACCAGTAGGTACATACTGTGTACTTAGGATATACACATGTAATGTACACGTGAGTGTCAAAGTGTTTATCGTACGCGGGTGAGAGTGGCGGTGTGTGGCGTGTAATCTGGAAGCGGACGCGCGCGGGCCGGCCTCGCCAAATAACTTCCGCACTACACCTGCTCTGCTGACACCGTGTGCCACTTTCTGCATCAGGTGTACGTAGGCACGTGTACCCTTGTGTCTAGCTTGTGTATCTGTTACAATAGGTAGTGCATATGTATGTACGTATGTTGTCCGTCTCTGAGGTTATTAGATATTTATGGATTGTAATGTAGCCAGTAATAGGAGGCGTGATGTATTAATTGTTTTTTATATTTCAGTCGTGATATTTTCAAAAAAAAAATTCTAGTTCAATATAAAATTTACTTTGCCTTTAGAAATTTTATATAAGTATTTTTATTATAGCTTATTATAGCTTATTTATTTATTATTACCTTTTTTTTAAGGTGTAAATATTTTAGTTCATAGTTATTTATATTTTAAGTTGTATATATTTTCATTTAGTTATAGTTAATATTAATTGTATATATAATTTTTACCTGTATTATAAAATAATAGTATTTTTATTAATTGTAGATAGAAAATGAAAAAAAATAAGAACCCATAGTTTCATTTGACTCACGACGTGTCCAAAACACAGGCGGGCAGTGACGGTAGCGGCAGTGAGACAACTCAAACCGTGAAAAATAGAGCAAGAGTTGCAATAGCTTGAAAGATGGATACATAAAAGTAAAGCGAAGATCGGGAACATAGCAAGCGACAATTATAAGAACATTTCGTGTACTTTCATGTCAGAATAGTTTGAGAAAAAAGCCCAAAGTTGTGAAGTAATTCGCGCCAATAGCGAGTATGGAGTGCGGCGAGTAGCGCACGCGCGAGGCCACTCCGCACGCTGCTGCCGCCGCGGCCGCTCACGCCACACGAATACATCGCAGATCGCGATCGCGATACCTCGCTACTTCGTACACTGTATCACGCAACTATGCCAAGTTGGCACGAAGTATGTGCGGTGTAAGTGGTGCAAGTGCGAGGCAGGCGCGTGCAGGGCGAGTGCGGTGAGCGCGCGATGCGCGTGCCCGTGCGTGCCCGCGTTCCCGCCGCGCGATGAGCGCGCCCCGCTACACGCGCTGTCTGCACGCGCACGCGATTTTTCTGCTGTTGCTTCGAGTTCTACCGTTCACAGTGGCACAGTAAGTACAAAGTTTGAAAGTTTATGTTTTATAATTTAATGAATATTTCATAAGAAATTAGTAATTCAAGAAAATGTTACGCGTGATAGAATTATTAATCTTAACTCACTACGAACGAAGACTGGATTCTTAAATTGTTAAAACAAATTCTGTAATTTGTTACAACAGTGACTAAAGTTTTCCGTTAATATGGAAGTAAAAAGTGGTTGAAAAGTTAATAAACTAATTTAGAACACCGACACAAACAAGTTTTAATTTTGCATCATAATAGAAAGCCACATGCTAGGAAATTACTAAAACAAAGGCATTCCGCAGCCGTCGGCCGCATCTCCTGTGTACGTCCGCTCATATTTACTTTGCTTGATTGCTAACTTTTCCTGCCTTTGAAAACAACGACTTTATAATTACATAGTTTTATAAACACGTACAAAGTTTGTGACCGAGGGAGTTCGTAGGAAAATTCATCACACTTATTTTTAAAAACGTTTCTATTAAAAGCTATCTGTGGCTCTTATTCCATTTATTTCTAATTTATATACGAAACCTTCATCAGTTATAGTTAGAGCAAAACCAAAAACAGTTCTTTATGATTTGAACGAAATTAATTTAATGCCGGTTCGTCCGACCCCGGCGCTAAATGCCAATTCAGTTTAAAGCCCGTTCACAAATCTCATTTAGATTGCCTTAGTACCCGTAATTTCATGCAGATAGGCAAATGTTTAGCAATGTAAATATCTGGAAGATGGCAGCAACCCTCCGTATGGTTTTATATGTAAATTATTATACCTAATTAACTGACAGAAAAATGTAATTACTGTTTGCCGCTATCCTCTTAAGATTTATAATAACAATACAAATAATTTATGTAAGAAAGTCCAAAAGATAAGAATATTTGTAGTATAAATAATCCTTTTTTAACCGACTCCAAAAATAACAAAGGAGGTTTTCAGTTTGACCTGTATGTGTGTATGTATATTTGTCCGCAATTATCTGGCTAAGCTGATTTTGATGCGGTTACAGAAAAGTGTTTGTTCCATTTCGTAGAAGGTTTTAGTATATTAATCGACTGCAAAAAAGATGAAAATGAAGTCGGTTTTTTAAACGTAATTTTTCTTTAACTAGTCACATTATGTGCATTAATACAACCTTTATTATTATTAGCTAAAAAGATTGAGTCAGAAATATGAGGTAAAAGTAAACGAATCGAATTACGTTCTTCATAAAACTGTAATTCTTGTTTGTATTGAAAAAAGATTATACAGTTTTACGATATAAAAAAGATGCATAGGTACAGGTGGTACAATTAGATTGTGTATTGATTCACAATAGCGTTACAAACATGAGTAGGTATCTATATAAATACGAAATCGGTATAAGTGACTAAGTTGATGAGGAAATTCTTAAAAAAATAATGGTTTATTTCTTTAATACACAATATATTATGAACCTATGATGTGATTGATGCCTCCGCTTTTCCATTTAACATAAATCAGTGCGTGTAAATTAAAAACAAACCCAAAGGGACATAAAGGGAGCGCTTTTATAATGTCTTGAATGATGAAATGACAATGAGTAAAGATGTCGAAGAACTGACGTAAGGAAGGTAGTATTTATGAGAAAATAACTTATTTGACCATGAAATGTGCTGTCTGGGCTACCTAAAACCGAACTACACTAATTCTAAAGATACTTTATGTTATTATTTCTGTTATTTTGTACGACCAAAACATTTCAGGTATCGTAATTTAATAAAAGCTTTGTAACTAACATGCCTTAATTGTTTTATACCAGGAACGAGCGCACCGCTATCGACAGATTGGAAAACGTAACGCATACCGTCACACGAATACTTGACGGATACGACATTCGGTTGCGGCCTAATTTTGGTGGTAAGACTACTAGTACCTAATAGTTAGTGGAATTTATTTGTTGCTCAAACTTTTTAATGTAGTATTGCAATAGGATTCTTTATATTTTTGTCATCATACCAACTTGCACACGACTTACCTACAGGCATACCATCGCCGTGCAATTTGAAACATGCAGTTAATATACTACTATGTAGTTTATGTACATATGTTATAAGGATGCCCCAAGATGTACGTTGCGACTGCAAGTTATTACGAGTATTGGACCATAATATTTGATATTTTGTAGAATTTGCTCGGTAAAGACGCGGCGGCCTGATTTGTCAGCGGTTTCCGCCGCATCAGCATGTCGGTTCGTTGCATAAATGTTATTGCTTTCCAGGAGACCCGCTCTATGTTGGCATGGATCTAACTATTGCTAGTTTTGATGCAATATCTGAAGTGAATATGGTAAGTTTTAAGCGTCAACATTTTGCAATCGCTCAACTAAACTGTGAGGTCATTGGAGAGCACATCATGTGTGAACACATCAATCATACTATGTAAAAGCTGACATTGTTTTTGTGCCTATCGTCTTCAGTCATGCATTAAATCTATCAGATGACCAAACATGCCCATAATTCTCACATATCCATACACAAGTTTGTGTCACTCGCTTGATTGATCTGTTCCACTGGAGGGTACTAGTGCTGGTTGCGGCAGACGACCTCCTCCCGGTGTGACGACCTTGTCTGCACTCCTCCAGATCTGCTGAGGATGTTTTTTGGGTCGAATCAAGGACTTGTCGTTCTCGAGGAGGTCGTCCATCGTAATTCATTAAGCTTTTAATAGCTGCGGAAAGGGAGCAAGGCCGCGGTCACTTGACACACATCGAGGGTCGCCGGTGACCGAGGGGCGGAGTGCTGCCTCAGCCAATCGATGTTCGCCTTTACTTTCTACCGCCGCCTGTCGACGCAGAGGTCACCGCCCACTCACCACTATCTTAAACATATATCGAACATTTTATAACCATAGTTCAATCAACAAAACTTCACCACACACATCACAATTGTAAGATATGTCTGCTACACTTCGCAATAGACAACAACAATAAGCACTTCTTCTCATATTCTTATTCAAGCGTCTTCATGTCTCACTGAGAATATCACCACGTCATAAGTATTATCTATAAAGGTTTCCAAACACTTCCAGGATTACACAATAACCCTTTATCTGAATCAATACTGGAAGGATGAAAGGTTGGCTTTCGGTCTTCCGGATGAGGTATTGACGCTCTCGGGGGACTTCGCCGATAAGATTTGGGTGCCCGATACTTTTTTCGCTAATGACAAGAATAGGTAAGGACCGACATTTGAATATTTTTCGTTGAACCTTGTTTGCTAAACTTGGAATCGAGTATGAGTAATGTTTCGACTTAGAGTTACTTATTTATGAACAAATGTTTCTTACTGTCGATGTCGTACTCAGAGATATTAAACCATTATTTAAACTATTCTTTAGTAACAATTTTGTTTTAACAACAATTGATAATTCTTAATAACGAAATCATTTTAGGAAGATTGACTCCAAACCATTAGCACATCCTCGGCATCATAGTTCAATTAAAAACGTATTTTTTTTGTTGAACTGTTTCTTAACTAATCCCCTTAAATTGTTAGCATAAATAATGTTTCTAGCGCTAGGTCAAGCACTAGCGTCAGCCACGCTGCTCAAAAATGCCTTGACCTAATCATTTCAGAACAACAATATTACATTAAGCTGCATTTTGCGATACTGAATACATTAAAACGAAGATTCGATTAACAAGTAAATTGTCGATTTACAATTATGTGCAAGTGTTGCATACTTTATTAATAGTCGATTATCAAATTGAGATATGAATACAAGATTGTTTTGTTGTTGAAATTATTCCGACTCACTTGAACATTGGTTAACAGGCCACTCGTCAATCCAGACCCCTCAGTTTTAAGATATGTTGACCTCTGATCACGTTATGTTTTGTAGGTGTCATTGTGTGTGACGCATATATTTTATGTCGATAGTTTCCTGCACGATGTGACGGAGCGTAACAAGCTGGTACGCCTCGGCGGAGATGGCAGCATCACGTACGGGATGCGGTTTACCGCGACGCTCGCCTGCATGATGGACCTCCACTATTATCCCTTGGACAGCCAGAACTGCACCGTCGAGATTGAAAGCTGTGTGACTCATACACTTGTAATACATCACCAGGCTGAGCTTGCCGCTTCGTGCTCGACCCGAACATCTTCGTCCTACATCGAGTCTTTTCGTAGACATTCGTCACTTCTTCGTTTTTGTCCATAGATTACATGCTCGAGCTTTGTACAGCCCTTAGCCACTTTCCATAACATTTTGTGGTTAAACATACAAGAAACCACAGTGAATGCTCCTTGTTCATTCAAACCATACTCCCTGGCGATGCAATATATTTTATTGTAAATGATAAAGTTATAAAGAACTTTATAAAATGAAGAATACGGAACGGTATTGAGTTATTTGAATGGTCTGTTTGAAGCTAATCACACTTGTCAGCAATATATCAATACACACCTTAAACGTCCTTATCAGTTAACAAATTTCAATATAGGTACCTACATATTTTGTCAATACACTTTGTTGGCAGACGTGATAAGTTACTTCAAGACAGGCTAATGAATAGCAGTATGCTAACATACGTTTCTCCGTGCAGATGGGTACACTGTATCGGATGTGGTGATGTACTGGAAGGAGACGCCGGTCAGAGGAGTAGAGGATGCGGAACTCCCACAATTCACTATACTTGGACACGAAACGAATGATAGAAAGGTAACACAATAACCACAAGGAATAAAATTGTTTGTCTTGTATAAATGTAAATAATAGGGTATGTCCCAGTGATTGCACAACTTTGAACTTTAACACTTTAACTCGTCGAGTACCGGTTTTGTAGACACAATTATAGAACAATAGGTTGCGGTCACCGGTGACCGCTTGGTGTTTGACAGTTTAATAAAATACAGTAAACAAAATAATGAACCGAATAAACACTTACACGAACTCGAACTTAAACATCTAAACAAGCTGTTAGCGTTAGCATCTAAACGCATCGTAGAACAATCGCAAACTTGCGCTAAGGTAACCACATATCCATTAAAGTTGGGACATTTCAGGAGAAGTTGGCGACGGGCATCTACCAGCGTCTGTCGCTCAGTTTCAAACTGCGCAGGAACATTGGCTACTTCGTGTTCCAGACGTACCTGCCCAGTATTCTTATTGTGATGCTGTCTTGGGTATCGTTTTGGATTAACCATGAAGCTACGTCCGCTAGAGTTGCGTTAGGTAAGAAAATGGCTTACTATACGGCACTATGTAAATAGATACATTTTAAAGGAAATAAATGAATAAATATTTTTCTTAGGTATCACGACGGTACTTACGATGACTACTATAAGTACGGGAGTGCGTAGCAGTTTGCCTCGTATCTCCTATGTCAAAGCTATAGACATCTACCTAGTGATGTGCTTCGTGTTCGTATTTGCGGCGTTGCTCGAGTACGCTGCCGTCAACTACACGTACTGGGGCGCACGAGCACGGAAACGAGCCAAGTTAAAGAACAGAGACCAATTATCCACTAGCGCCAGTGTTGAGAAAGAATTGAAATGTTCAGGTAAAAATATAAATTATTGCTCGTTATTGACTAAAAGTTTAAACAAGAAAATTATTAAGATCAAGTTTAATATGTATATGGTTGTCAGTGCAATATTGTCAACGTCGTTAATCAAGTCCACCAGTATAGTAGTCTTATTATCATTAAACACTCCTACATAATTTTCGATTATAACTAATACTTATTCCCAGGTTCCCGTTCCCCAGAAGAGATAATTGCGTTGCGAGAATGTGCAACGACTGCGGGCCGCGTGTCTCCTCTTTTAGGGCTACGGTCGAAACCACTACCAGCCGCTACTGGAGCCCCGCCGTCCCTACGACTACAACGCGACCACACTCAACTACGATACAGAACAAGACCACATTCTAGAAACTCTAGAAGTAAGTAACGAAGGAATATGACAATGAATATAGACAATACTACAAAAGTAACAAAAAAGAAAATTGGTAGGCAGTACACAGACTTTTTCATTATTTAAAGATTTTCATTTTTATGGCAAAAGTACTAGTCAAGTCTTTCTTTCTTTCTCAATTTGTTATGGTCACATACTGCACCAAGTCCGTACAATACACGGAACAAGTTTTGAAAGACCGAGGTAGTTTTCCTCCTTATACCCACGTGACGAGAGTCACGTTGCAGATTATGTTCTAGGAACTCCTGTGAGGAGACAGCAAGTGTAGTAACCTTGATTGCAATATATCTACAGACAAATTGTTCTAAAGATTGCTGTCTCAAAACGGAGACTTCCTTTCCTAGTGCCAAGCAATTTGCTGTGCATTGAACTGATACGAGTGACCTATCTATAGATACATCATATACTCAGCAAATTTGAATATCAGATTATCATATACTACATATTGCTATTGCTATACTACACTTGCTACATGCTGAACTATGCTATTTGGTGAACCGCAAAACATACTGACTTATTATTTGATGACCTATTGTCGACAAATGGATAAATTATTATAACTTTCACTGTAACTTATTGATACAATAAATAATAAATGAACATGTCATCATATGGATAATTATAAATTATTTAACCAGTAGGTTTATTTAATGAAATATATTTTCCTTTTTTTTTTTACAGACGGATCTACGGGAAAACCTAAAGTGATGCACGCACTTCGTCGAGGCGCGACCGTCATAAAGGCGTCTATGCCAAAGATACGAGATGTGAATGTCATAGACACGTACTCCCGAGTCGTGTTCCCAGTCTGTTTCCTTCTCTTCAATGCCGTCTACTGGGTCTTTTATATTTTCGATTGAATTTTCCACAATGAAAAACATTATCCTCAATAGTGTTCTATGAAATTGTCACCCTACTCGTAATTTTACCTAACGAATTTATGCGATATGTATTTAACATTATTTTACGTTTTGTCAAGAACTCACTAAATACTTTATAATTAAGTGAATGAATAATGTTATCATTATGATGTTACTTTGTTTTTGTGAAGTGTAGAAGAAATGTTTTTTGAATATAAATGTGTTTTTTGTTATCTGATTTTAAAAAGTACATTCAATGAACTTTTGGTGATTGATTATAATTGTTACAGTAGGTTAAATAAAGTTGTTTAATAGAAGGAAATGTGCCAAAGAAATGTCTTTGTTCGACAGGATTAAATTGGTTAGTTCTGCGACTCGTGGAAGGAACATCGCATTACTAAAGTTGAGTGTATCCAAGCCAAATATAATTTAATCAATTGTGTACGAATGTTGATGTTCAGCGATTTAAAACTAGTAGTTTTGAATGTGAGTAACTAAATAGAATATCGCAATGTTATTATTATGTATATTGAAACTGCCAAATTTATGTCTATAAGATTAAAAAACAAATTCATTTGTTAAAACTTTGCTTGTGAGACAAGACAGAATATAATTTAAATATATGATGCCAGTGCCAATACTGTTATTTAAAAAAGAAAACTGTCATTTTGACGTTTATTATGTCAGATTAGATAAGAAAAACATTATTGACGTCACTTCCTATCTTCAATTCTTTTAATATAGGATTAAATGTAAGATAGCCATTTTTGAGATCGTTGTAAATAAATTAATTATAATTACGTAGAATGAACGTGGTAAATTATATAGTAGCAACATTGATGTTTATATTAGAGGGAGATAGCAACTTATAGCTTATTTAAGACAATGTTGTAAAATAAAATTTATTAAAAAAATATTTTATTTCTTTCTTTTCTACCCCATTATGTTTTCCAATATGTTTTTTATGGTAATTTTGCCTTAATATGGTTTTCAATGTTTCTTTTAAGGGGGAAAATGATCCGATGACCTCTCCCGCTGTGAGGCGGGAGGGAGTGTCAAACTCTACTGACTATACCACCCCGTTCCTACTCCTGCACTTCGAGCCAGAGCCCCGGTAACCCGTTAAGTTTTCCGCGACTCCGTATCAGCCCTATTGGGCCCCATCCATGGTGGTCTGATGGCTCTTTGTGGCGCGCACAGAACGCGACGCGCCGCACGCTCGGGTCTGGTTCTGGTGGTCCGCAGGCCCGTGCTTACGGTGGCCGGAGATCCCCAACGCCCGGAGTGTCCTTTGCGACGCGACGGCTGGGTTGTGAGGCGGTAGGTTAGGAAGCCGTAACGTCTCTCAAGCCACTCCTCAAAGAGGGGACTTACCGCTGGTAAGCTGGTAATGGCAGCGAGCCCAATTTTCAATGTTTAATACCCGAGTTATGTTAAGAGTTCGATGCAATAGGGGTGAGCCTGTAGTAATTATTTCAAACATTGTCTGTATGGTATAACAATACCACAACAAATTATAACTAGGCATGTCTACCATATTTTATATAGTTTACATACGTATACATATCCATAATACATTTTCCTGATATTTTTTTTTTTGATATTTAATGTGCTCCCTATGGGGCTACTTCAGTCAGAGCGCTACTAACGCCATCTTCATTTTCCTCGAACAACAACCTGCGAAAGCTTTGACGAGTTTGTTCAGTGATTTGCCACCCAGTATAGCAACAGATTTTAACGCTTTCTGTATGAGAGCTTTCTATCAAGCTTCAAAAAACCGCGCATCGATGTCACTACGGTTCTTATTGAAAATTAAAACGAAAATCTTGTGAACATTGTTATTTCCAAGATCTTATCTACAAATTTAAAATATGAATTTGAATAATTTATCTTTAGCTGTAATATATTATTATTCTCTGCTACCTAGGCATAAAACCTTATTTTTTTTGTAAATTTAAAAATGAAGAACTGGCCACAAAGAATAAAAAATACAGCTCAAATAATGTTGGCGCCAAATATTTCATTAAAAAAATATGAACGATTAAAAGAAAATAAAAAAAATAACAATACAAGACGTGCAATAATGTTTTCGACTATAATATAAAAAGTCTTCACCATGTCTTCATACGACTAAATTTATGCTGACTCGTTATGTAACTTTTATAATGACTATTTAAAAATTGTAGATCACTGCAAAAAGAGCATATTTACTGTCAATTTCAATAACCTATCTCAATCCAAAATATATGGATAAGGATCGAATTTTGACAGGAACACTATACAAAATAATGTTTTTTTTTTATGGAATAAGTAAACGAACAGACGGATCAACTGATAGTATCAATCGGCGCTGCTCATAGACACACGAAACACCAGAGGTGTTACAAATGCGTAACCGGCCTTTTGTGGATTAGGAATTTGAGGATTATTGGGGATTCAGAAATTGGGGATTCGGGGATTGGGGATTCGGGGATTGGAGATTCGGGGATTGGGGAAATTGGGGAGGGGGGTAATTGGGTCTTCGGTAACCTCACTCACTCGACGAAATACAACGCAAGTCAACACTTGCGTTTAAGTGAACAACTTACACGTCAGATTTCTGTGAGGCCGTGGTATCGTTCCGGTCGAGCCGGCCCATTCGTGCCGAAGCATGGCTCTCCCACACTTGATCAAAAATAGATTCTTATGCACAGATTTTGAATTGAGATAGGTTATTGAAATTGGCGGTTAGTCATCACCATACGAATTGATCTCTAACTATACATACTACTTCATAAAGAGCTTGAATTTGGTATTAATGTAACGGCCGAAATTAATAACTTAATGTAAATTCAAAATCTGTGAATGAAGATCGATTTTTGACATTAGTTATATGGATTTTTTGTCAACTTGACTGCCTCGTTGGCCGATTGGTCGCAAGTGCGACTGCCGGGCAAGGGGTCTCGGGTTCGATTCCCGGGTTGAGCAAAGTATTACTGGGTTTTTAAAAAAAATCTCAGTTGTAGCACGGAGTCTGGAAATGTGCCCGGTATATGTCATAGGCTCAGCCCTATTACATGGGACTCTAACAATAATAGTGAAAAGTGGGTGTTATATTGTGCAGTGGCATTAAGAGCCGTAATGTGCACCTCGCCTACTCCTTCGGGGTTAAAAGGCGTGATGTTATGTTATTTTTTGTCAAAAAGTGAGATTGAACTGAGATGAGTGATTTCGGATTAAAATCGGTTGTTAATTTTCGCCGTACGGAAAATGGAATCATAAAAAAATCCTAAAATTCATATTTTACGCAGACGAAATCGCGGGCAACAGCTAGTATGAAATATAGAAAGTGTAGACAGAGGTCCACATAATGTAGCTAGACAACGTATACGCGTATGCCATACACTTCAGACGTACTAGGTCCCCTAGTGTTTCTACATTTATAATGGATCTATCAATTGCAGCGTCGTCGAATGTTATTTCTGTGATCATTAGCGCTCGTCGGACGTATGTAGTAGCGTACTTCAGTTTTATAAATCAGAATGTAGTTTTCCATTTAAGTGATACAATTGCGTGATTAAATCTAAAATCATTCATATATTCTACACACACAAACTTACGACCATCAATTACTAGGTAATTCATAGTACATAAAGTGTTTTGATTGAACAAAAATAATAAGTATTATTATGATGAATGGACCCGACTAAAGTATTTTATTGTACCTACTTGTATAACTTATAAATGAATCGAATGGAGGCTTCGTTGCCAGTAAACAGCCTTCTTATATAATTAGGTTGACTTTCAATAAGGCGTCTTATTTTTCAGAATATTGAAAGCTTTAAAAATAGATTCATACGTAGGCATTTTTGTCTGCATTTAACGATACTAAATTAAGCCATGATTAAAGCCCAAAATGGGTTAACAGAAAAACTTTGCCGGTGATGAAATTACCAACTATATTTATAAGCACTTTATTTTCATAGAGCTTTATTCACAGTAGGCGATACAATACAAATGTAGGGGAGCGTTGAAAGAGATTTTATATAGGCAAGGTAGCAAGGGGCGGCGGGTTCCATTCATCGACGAGGCGCAGACTGCGCGGGGCGCCAGCGCGGGGGCGCGGGGAGGGACGAGGCTCCAGATCACCTAGTACCTATCCCAGTCGCGCGCAGAGAGCACATCTCAAGGGTGCTCCGTCCAATAATAAGAAAAACCAAAAATAAAAACAATTTAGTGCTTTCAGGTACTGTGTAGTGATTGCGCGAGTGCTTCCATTAGGAACTCTTGTTATAGTGCCAACTGTGCGTCTAGTTTCAGGATATTATGTCACAGCCATATCTGCTTTAAGGTACATACACACAAATTTTAATTATTTATTTTAGGTGTAAGACATATTGTACGAATTATTTTATGGACGTAGATTTATGTAATATTAAAATACTAATCTGAAAGCACAGCTTTTAAGTTTAAATTCTAGTCGTTTAATTAAAAGTATTGTATAATATAGCTTCCAGACAGGTTTTTGGATACAAAATCAATAAAATAAACTAAGAATATAAGGTTTTTTCATGAAATTCAGCATTTGACGTCGTAGCTAGTTTCATGGTCAGACCCGTGGGCGGTCGGAGGTGTTGAGTTTCGAGCTCTCAGAGGGCGCAGGGGAAGGCGCGCGGCGCGGGGGCGGGCGTGGGCTCAAGCCTCCGCGCATTTCACCCCCTCCCTGTATTGATCGCTCAATTTTCAAACGTATTTCCTAAATATTGTCGCCATAAATCATTACATCTATGAATTGCAACTGTGCTGAAAAATAGACTAAATAACTGAAGACGAAGTGGCAAGATTTAAGTGTAAAAGTAGGTAGGTAGTTGTGTGTATGCCTTCATACACAACGTGTTCATTACGAAAGTGATTTGGTGACTAGTGCTGTCATGGCGTTATAGAACACCTAGACACCCTATCCATTCAATTGCAGGGTGTGTTATGTTGTGTGATTGCTATTATTACTCGGGTTACTGTGATCGCAAGATTTATGCGCCACCATGAGTCGGATAACACGTAGCTGCTAAAGTGTGTGCGACAAGGACGCAAGATGAGCCAATAGAACCTATTTTTAGAACCAATACGAATTAATTTAATGAATCTGCTTGATGAAAGCCGTTTTTTAATGCTGCTTGGAGATCATCGATCTCTGAGTTTGAAACGCAATAACAGACGTCATTGAGAATTCCATGTGTTATTTAGGACTGATTAATAACACATTTAAGGACTTTTGTGATTCGTTATTTGGATCTTATCTATAAATCTATGGATCCTAGACTTAAATATTTAGATAGTAAGATATTTGAAACGAAACAAATAATATTGGTTGCGTCAGCTTGCATATGGTAATAGACTGCGTCATAGCTTGTAGTTTGCTATGCTAAACTGAATAAAATAATCAATGTGAATTAATAACTTAGACATTTGTTGAGCTTACAACAAAGCCCAGGACATCCTAACTGCGTAGAATGCGCGGTTTCGTGCGTCGTGAATGAAAACCAGATCAACAAGTAGCTACTAACATTGGCTTTCTATCGCGCCTGCGTGTCATAAAATCTTAACAATTTCCAATATGGCCGCTTTATGGACTATGACTTAAATCTTACAGCGACATGATGTAAAACAAAAATGTTTTAGACTAAAGACCAATACATATTTTCTGCATTTAGTACTACATTCACATTTGAAAAGAAATCCCTCGTTTTTACGTACTGTGTGGCTATGCGCCTACAGTTGTGTTTGTGGGCACTACGCCCTAACCATATGATATTTCAGACTTGCTAGAATGTTCCATTAAGACTGGAAGGCTAAAACTAGAACATTCTCGTATAAATAAATGTCATTCTATTTAAACGCTACATGATTATAATAACATTGCAAGTTCACTTTTACCATGTGAAGTGTAGATTCTTAGTTTATTCTTAGACATACCCGTGGACATACCTAACGATTACATTTGACCCTTTGATACTTTGTTATCATTTCTGGAAATATGTATCTGTACAATATTATTGCGGGATATTAAATCTATTACTGAGAATTCCCTCATTAGTCACCATCGAGACTTCGATTTTTCATACAAAAATAAACTGAATTATTTTAACTTATATACCCAATCATAGTTATTACATACATACATAGGTACATAACCTCAGGCCTGTCTCTCAGGGGGGTACACAGAGACTATAGAACATTAATTGCTACGATGCTTATGTCTATCGCTTCCTCAACAGTCATAAATCTTTTCATATATGTTCATAGGTTTTAATTTGGCCCTTCTTTAATATATCGCCAATCTGGTCATGATCATTAATCATTTATCACAAATAATTTAAAATATAAAACTGCTATTAATTTTAATGTTGCATAATATACAATTATATATTGTACTGTACTGTACTGTACGTACATACATACAATGTACTCGTATAATATGTGTCGCCAATTTACCTAATTGGTTTTAGAGTGGCACCATAATGGCGGGTATCATGTATATAATTTAATGTTCACAAGGCAGTGTTTGGTTAAATAAATGTAGATGCACCTATGACCTAAATTAATTAAAGAATTATTCGAATTTTCTCTCGACTTCATGTCAGCGCCATCTATAAAACAAATATTCTGTTCGGTACTTGCTAGAGCGGCATGGTTTATCAATTGTGCGTATTGTAATGGAGTATAAGAAGATACCTTTTAATTTTAAAAATACTTGGTTTTAGAGAATATTTTCCTTTTCCAATTCCAAAGACAATTTCGCTAAAATTAAACTGTCAAACACCAAGCGGTCACCGGTGACCGCAACCTATTGTTCTATAATTGTGTCTACAAAACCGGTACTCGACGAGTTACACCCTTAAAAGCGACGTGAATAAAAATAAACTTTTCATTTTTCTTTTAATAGGCAGTTCATTCCGAAATAAATTCAATTTCAACGTTGCGTATTATTGGTTTTTGTCTTTAAAATAAATAAACACGTACATATTATATACATACTTAACTATAGGTGTTTTAAATTAACATCAATGTTCACTCCCTACCTACGTACTTGATGATTTCGTTAAAAAGTGGACCGAATGGAAAAAAATACAATTCTTCAATATACAATTAAAGATGTCGCCACATGGCATTTGGTACGTAGGTCGAGAAAACTCGGGGGCTCGGGGCTCGAAATTCTTATTGTTGTAGTTTGAATAAGGTGGCGTTGCAGATCACACGTGTGTTCAGTTTATGTTCGTAACACTTTAATTCATTTTATGGAATTTTTATAAGATCACTCTTGTTTTGGTGTCTAAAGTTTACAGTGTGTTTGTGCAAAGTTTATAATGAATAAGTAGTCTATCTAATTGATGGTAGTATAAATATCTAATAAGGTAAAAGAGGGACATTCCTATCGAATTCTTCTGCTTTGGTCTTTTTCCTATGACTAAGGAGACAAGGCCTTTTCATTTGAAGTCAGTAAATTATCTGTGCTGTATGTAGTGATAATATTTGATATTAGAACTTCAAATAAGAGATTTAAATGTGAATTTTAATTTTTGTTCCGTTCGTGATTAGGTGTCTACACAGTGCTACGTATTTCTAAAACCATTTGTAAATCACAAATAAACTATTTTCTTAGAATAATTAACAATTATTTTCAAAAATTACGTGTTTTAGTTTGATGTATATTTTGATTCTTAGATTCGAAATATTCGTGAATATAGATAATGATACATTTTTGTTGCGTAATTAAGAATAATTCAACGAATTTTGAATTGAATTCTAAAATGACATTAATTAATTTTAAAATTTCTGGTCAATGAGCCATTGAAACAAAGCACAGTGAAACTGCTTTGATTTCCTGCGTAACAACGACACGAAAGTTTTATATAAATCATCCAATGACTTATTGTTCATACGAATTTGAATAAAGCTGCTAGCTATTATACTAGAGCTCATAAAACTAAGCTTAGGGTTAGAACAATCAGTGCATTCCTCCCATTTGCATTGTTTTAAACAGTCACTATGTCTTTTGGTCACCCTATGTACTAAAACAATAGTAAGTAATTTGATTGTAAATTTATTGAGCGTTTACTTAAAAATAATTTAATTTATCATACATACATGCATACTGTAAAGTAAGTAGCTTCTTCCTAAGAATAAATGTATTTGTAGTTGTATGAACAATTAGAATTTCTGATCCTAACATTCCATCTAATCTTCCTTATTGGAACTCGTGGCAAAGATAATGCGTATGATTTGAAGATGTAAAAATGAAAGAAAACAAACCAAACGCCTGCGACCTTATAGATTCTTTATTACCACAATCTTATAGATGGCGACAAAAATCTCCATTACATTTTCAAAAGTGCTAACGTTTATAAACAGTCAACATGGCAAATTCTACAGATGTTTCGTTGTTGTTCATCTAAGGTTCTAAGGTCAGGATCTAAGGTTGTTGTAGACTAAACTGTTATCTAAGCAATTTTCCCTTGTTATGTCAGAGTGAACGCGTTGAGTGAGCTGACTGCGTTGGCAAGTCATGGTGGCCCCGTCGCGGGTGACAGGCCGAGCGGCCAACCAAGTCACCTAAAGCAGCCAGGCTCACCACTGCGCCGCCGCTGTCAACACCATGCCTGCGCCGCTCCTCATATACGTCACCTGCTTCACCTTTCTCTGGATATGTGGTACGTAACTCTTTTTCTTCCATCTACTAAGTTATTTGAAGTTAGGTTCAGAACAATAGGTCTTTTATTTCCAGTTTCGCTATTAGACAACTTTTTATCGTGTCACCTTTTCCATCAAGTTCATGCACGAAACACATATTTCAGAAGAGTTTTTAAGTAAGCCTGTTACTTTTCTTCTAATAGCAAAAGCGGATGATCCATTGCCGGTGTTCGGGGGCGCGCGGCCGGCTAACGGTACCGCGGAGCCCCCCGACTTGCGATCCCCCATGGGCCGAGTCCCGCAATATCAACCACCTGGCTTGGGACCTGGGGGCTTGGCCCCACCGCAGAGCTTTTGGCCTCACAATCCGCATACTCGCGTCGAGTCTTGGCACCGTAAGTTGTTCGTTACAAAATTATAAAAACAAAATAACCGTCGTGGTTAAAAGGTTCTTCTGGTAAAGGTTCGAAACCTGGCCAATGAGGCCTTTGCCCAGCATTGGTACTGCTACGGTATTGTTTTATCATTTTCTAATACTTGTTGTATCATTACGATACATGATTTTAATAAGGATGGTTTCAGATATCGCCACGCCTTATATTCGTCGAAAGGATATTATTTTTCATTTCACTGTTACTTATATGACTTGGAACTAACAATGTTCTGGTATTCACAGACCGTCCCATATTCACCCGTATACACACTGTATCCCACGACACCGGTGACATGGAAGGCCACCACCATGGGGACGTCGACGCAGACTGCCACCAGCCTTGTGCTAAACCACAATTCTCTTGTCAGGTAAAACGAAAGGAATATTTAAAGTCTTTTATAAAAAAAATATGATTCATTGATTATTGCAATACTAATTATTCCGCTGGGTCCAATGCCGGATTAACCACGTAGCAAGTCAAGCATTACTAGTGCTCCAAAAAAAGGGGTCGGGTCTCATAAAATAACATCGCCTCCTTCACTTAGTTTTTAGGTCAAGTCTAATCAACTGACATACTTTAACCAGCACTGGCTGGAACACATTAGGTGCATACTTATTTCGGAACTACGCACCTAAACAAATACTCTCTTACAGAAATCATGCACCTGTATACCGATAGAAAAGCGCTGCGACGGTAAAGTGGAGTGTGCCGACGCAGAAGATGAAAAGAATTGCACTCCAGCTTGCGATGAGAATCAAAACCGGACTCTCTGTCATAGCACCAGCGTCTGTATTAAAGTGGAGTGGCTCTGTGATGGAGACAATGACTGTGGCGATTATTCCGATGAAACCCATTGCGGTAATTTATTGTAGCATGCTATACTGTATATAGAACATCCTGTGAATATTCTATTTTTAAGCTGACCTTGTTTAAACTTGCCAATTAGTGACTAGAGAGTAACTTGACAGCATCAATTACTTTATACTAGAATTAGAAAAGCATGATAAATTCTTTGACTGATTGATTAATGTCTCGTTTAGATACATTTAAGGGGAAATAAAAAATAAAAAGACTTGAACAAAAAAGAATAAGTGTATTTTGATGCAGGTGGAACCACAAACTGTACGTCGCAGCAGTTTCAATGTGCTAACGGACTGTGCATTCACAAGGACTGGGTGTGTGACGGTGACAACGACTGCCGAGACAACTCTGATGAGAACAACTGCATCAAGGGCAAGTAAGTGCATCATGTTCACAAAGTAATAAGTCGTGGCGTTGCGTTGTAGTAGTAATCGCCTTTTATAGGTACACGATCGAAATCAATCTAATTGGCATCAGGGATATTTTCTTAGCTTTGGTCGCTTCTCATTTACGTGTCACGTAGAGAGCCAGTAGAATACCAGCGACTGTTTCGTTTCTTGCACATTTCGACACGGGCTTGGGACATGTACCCTTACCATTATAAACATGTACTACTAAGTATAAAGCCTATTTACACTATGTGAAATCTTCTATCTTTTGATATTATACAACATTCAAAAGAGGTTTCATAGCTAATACTATTTGAATGAAGAAGACAGAACATCAAAAAATTCAGCATCCAAAATAAATTCAATTCCATTTAAATTACAGTTATATATTTAATATTTTTGAAAGAATGTATTACACAAACAGAATTTTAATGAATTTCAATAGAAGTATAAAAATAGGCACTGCACTCAAAGACTATGGCCGCATTACTCCTATAGGTAGACACAGGCTCGTGACCCCTACAAACATAACTTCTATACGTCTACAGTCCATGGCATCCCCTACTGACAAATGACGTCACACCGTATAACAGCCAGATTAACTGCGTCATTGGTGTTTGCACAGGGAAGGAGGGGGTGACCGATTTGATCGACTGCTAAGCTATGAAAGCTATTACTCGTACTAACTTGATTCAAAGAATGTTACGTTCGCTATATCATTGAGAGATGATAAAAATAAAAATAACGAAAAAAATGTAGATGTTTTCTGTGAAGTTGTTGGAAGTGCTTTTATTTATGTGTTTATTTTCAGCTATGACTGTGTTCGTTTGTTTTATGAACTTGTACCTTATCGTCAATGAGTACACGTGCCTACTAGAAAGAGAAATATATAAAGAAAAAGAAAAAAACAATCTGAATTCGCCCCATACAACATGTGTTTCTATCTCTAGTCAGGAAATTTACAGTTACATAGATAAGTTACAGATATTGGGCGTAACGCGTTAGAGACATGGGCGTAATTTCAAGAATGTTCCGGAAAAAAGCCTTGTAATATAATCAGATTACCAAAACAACACATTAAGACGCAATAAACAAAAATTAGAGGTATAAATAGTCAGCCCAATTAGTTTGTTTTCTTTTGTATCAAGTGACCAGTAAGCGGAAGTGTAAACAATAAACCATCTTGTGTAAACGTCATCGGTAGATATTTAGGTGCTACCTACGTTTGGAGAGCATCCTACGTGATATATTAATAGCCTTTGATTGGCTTGCAGCCTACGCAGTTAGGTTGTTTAGAGCTCATGCACTAAGCTTGACGTTACTTGTCAATGTCAGATTTGTGACGCATGCACAGGTATTTGGTTTCCAAAAGAGAATCATCTTTATGGTTAACATGTGGAACAATCGCTGTGACTGTCAAGTTAGTACGTTAGTATTACTTTTGGCAATAATGTGGACCTGTTGAAGGGTGATCGTTTCATGTGTTAAGACGTAATTAAAGTTATCAGTCCTAGTTGTCGTCTCAACATATATAATATACGACTAATGGTTCTGGTAGTCTGGAACTATGAAGAATCAATGTAAGGGACAAATGTTTAGAAAAATGGCGCATTGCCCTTAGTAGGATGTGGAGGACAAATAGCAGTGACTCTATGTAAAGCACTACTGCTTCAATTTCAATATAATTTTTATTTATTATACAGTAGTCAGTGTGAAAATATTTCCATAGGTTCTAGAAATATTAAAAAAAAAATGCGTACCATGACAACATTGTCAGCATAGCTAGGAATAGGGCGAGCGTGTTTGCTAGATTGGGGACTTATGCATATGCACTAAGTGCCGTTACTTGTGCGAGACCAAAAAATGTGTTTATATGAGGTAATCCAGAGGCTAAAACATTTCAGACATTTTTGGTATAATGATTTTGCATACTAAACACATGGGATATAAGGATACGATTTTTGATGAAATGTAATTTTCTATTTATAACTTATCGGGAAACTGAAATCTGAGAACTGAAACGTTTTGACAATACAATTAACTGAAAACCCCAGTCCAGTCCCATAGAACCGTTTAAAAAGTTTAGGCGGGACTTTCTGGATTTTATTTTACACTGCGCGGTACGGGCTGTGGCGGTCGGTAGATCAATACGTCGGGGGTTGGAGGGGAGGGGCACGGGGGCGCGGAGGCGGAGGCTGGGACCAGGTTTCCATGGCGACGCGCCTACGCTCCCTGCGTCCCTAGAAGGAGACTCGCCCGATATATACCAGTTCCGTGGGCGGGCTCATTATAGAACAAATTCATCGACGTGATTAACATTACTGGTACACCTACAGCAACTTAGTGACGCTAATGTGACGTATGATTTCATTTCAATTTTAACGCCATACTTGGTACTATATGGGATATGGGATGATGTTAAGCATCGTAAGCATTATTGTTATGTACTTTCATACCAAAATATAATAAAACGATATTCGCAGCAATTTACGATCTCCATTTTCGCCAAGCATCGCACGCGACAAATGTGATCGGTGCGTTGCTTGCTTGATGAAGCCTGTTTAGACTAGGTACATTTGCTTTGCTACGGTACTGCAATTTTGGGTTGATTTATTGTTGCTTCAGTTAATTTATGGTATAGACGATATTGGCTTACGACATATCCCCAACAAATGTCCATAATCTTATCTACGGGGACGGAGTAATCAGTCCATATTTCTTCAAGTAAAACATGGGTTCTGTATTAAAATAAGCTTTAATTTACCCAGTAGTCGCATGTTCTTCCCATAGAAATAGTAGACTAAGTTTTGAGTTACATGGTACTGCATTTTGACATTCAAAAGTGCCATCTTTGGTTGGCTTTGCTATATTTGGTATTTCTGTACCATACTTCTTGTACGCAGGTGTCGAGAGCATCAGTTCATGTGTGCGATTGGGGAATGCATATCGAAACATTGGCGTTGTGACAAGGAAGCCGACTGTCCTGATAGCTCTGACGAAGCTGATTGTCGTAAGTCATTCCTTATTAGTTTACGTCTCGATTCAGGTCAGCTTTGATTGTTTTTAAAAAACAAGACATAATAGATGCTGTGCTTAACAAAATATTAATGACTGATTTATACCCACATACCACATGGCTAATATATAGTCAGAATAAGACCTATATTTTTTCAAGATTTGTCTTTTTAACTAATACTTATTGTCAACGTATTAGAATCTAGTTTTCAACAATGTCCTTTTATCCTACCAGCTGTGGATCTTTTGCGGTGTGGTGAGAATGAGTTCCAATGTGACAACAAGAGATGCATCCGTAAAGACTTCCAGTGTGATGGTGATAATGACTGTGGAGACTGGACTGACGAAGACACGTGTCCTATGTTACCTGGAAGCTGTAATGCTGGGGAATTCAGGTATAATACTAATTATACTAAAAATATTAAATTGTGACCCCATTTTCTATTCCTATTCCGCATTCCGCAATGTATAAATTGTGAAGGTAATAACGATAACTATTTCTGAAACAGATGCAGTGATGGCAAATGCATACCAGATCGTTGGCGGTGTGATACTGAAAGAGATTGTGCTGACAGTGGCGACGAGCTCAACTGTGAACCAAACTCTATGCGAAATTGTACTGATGATGAGTTCACGTGTGCTGATCGACGATGCATTTTGGTAAGGATCTTATAGTGGCTTCCAAGATTAAGAATATGTAGCGTGTGAATCGGTATAAATACTCTTACGTATACTTAACTCGATTTCTTCCCCACAGAAAACTTGGCTCTGTGACGCTGTCCGGGACTGCACAAACGGTGAAGACGAAATGAACTGTGAAGTGCATTGTGAAGAAGATCAATACACTTGCAAAACTCAAGATCATCTCATTAGCAGTGCATTCAGGAATTGTGTAAACAGAAAACACGTTTGTGATGGCATGAAGGACTGTCCAGAAGGAGATGACGAAGAGAAATGTCCAGTGAAGAGAGCATGCACTTTTGAAGATAGATGTGACCCTGACATGTGTATAACCACTTACGATGGACAATCAGCTTGTACCTGTCCTTTAGGTTTCCTGTTAGACTACGACAATCACACGTAATACATATTCTTTAAAATCAGTAGCAAAAATATTCAATACTTTTTCTCAATAAACCTGTTAACTAACTACACTTTATACTTCACAGCTGCCGCGATATTGATGAATGCATGTACGAGCAAGATCCAGTTTGCTCCCAAACATGCTCAAATACTGTTGGCAGCTTCAAATGTGGCTGTATGACTGGATACGTGTTGAGACCTGATGGCCGATCTTGTAAGCCTACAGGAGAATCACCCACTTTGCTGTTTTCTAATCGCGTTGGTATACGACAGGTAAAGATTATTTCGTATGGATGGGAGTTCCCTTTTGAATAAGTCGATTTACTTTTGAAAATATACTTAAATTAACTGTAATGTTTCAAATAGGTTTGGTTAACGGGCGATAATTACATGCCAGTGGTGAAAGGTCTTCATAATGCGGTTGCTTTAGACTACCACTACGAGAAACAACTTGTCTTTTGGACTGAGAACAACCTCAGAGTCATCAGGGTAGCTCAAATGAATAACAACAACTTGACAGGTAAGAATTTAATACAGTAAAGTTAGGATGGTACCCAATCTGTCTGCGGATGTTAAATTAACTAATAATGTTTCATTCCTAGATGTTATAAGGTGGGGATTAGAAACACCTAGTGGAGTGGCTGTAGATTGGATACATGACCTGCTATTTTGGACGGATTCTGGTACTCGACGAGTGGAAGTTACGACACTTGAAGGAAATCAAAGAGCAGTCATAGCTGCCAACGATTTGGACAAACCAAGGGCTATAGCAGTGCACCCTGGAGACGCTTTGGTGTTCTGGACTGATTGGGGTAAACCTCATAGCTTAAAGATACTTATGTATCACAAAAAATAATTAAAAATAATTTCTAACCTATAAATACGTTCTTAGGTCCCAACCCAAAGATAGAGCGTGCTGATATGGACGGCAGTAGGCGGAAAAGCATCATCGTGGATAAAATCTTTTGGCCAAATGGACTGACCATTGACTATACGGAATCGAAGATATACTGGGCAGATGCCAAACACCATGTTATTGAGAAGGCTTCGTTTGATGGACGAGATCGGAAGAAGGTATACTTCAATATCAACCTATAGTTAAATAATATCAAGCCATAATTTTAATATATTTTTTAACATAAACTTATGGTTGAGGTTCTTGATGCTTTGAATGAATATGCATCTTCTTTTTTTACTAGGTAACCAATAAAGGCCTTCCTCATCCATTTGCTCTGACGCTGTTTGAAGATGCTATCTACTGGACCGACTGGCACACCAAGAGTATTTCTACCGTCAACAAGAACACTGGCATGGGAATACAGACTGTTCATGCAGGACTTAACGTTCCAATGGATATTCATAGGTAAGTTGTAGTGGTAACTAGGGGCATCAGTATTGAGGAACTTAAATCTTGGATATATGCATAATAAAGTTTTCTGGAAAAATATACTTAATTATTTCGAATGGTTTTCGTATCTTCATTGTACTTTGATTACTTCAACAAAATATTACTTTCCACCAGTTACCACCCACTGAGGCAGATAAAGACCTATAAGAATCGTTGCGGCACCAACAATGGAGGTTGCTCCCATTTCTGTCTTCCAAATAGCAATGATCACTCTTGTCGGTGCCCTGTTGGATTTAACTTGAACTCGGATGGGTATGTCATGAGTTACTAATAGTAAAATGAATTAAGTAGAATCCATTAATTAAATTAATCCTATTTCTCAACTACTTTTTCATTACAGTCGTACTTGTGAACAAACACCAGAGAAACTGCTCTTATACGCTCGTAAGAAAGACATCAGATTGAAACAACTGAATCCCAGGAAATCAACAGATTCTTTGGATATGGTAAGTTCAAAACTGCGACATATAATTGCCATTATTACTAAGCATCTTCGGATAGGGCGTGACAAACTATGTAAATTGAGAACAAATAAAATATTTTTAGCCATTATGACGCATTTTAATACTTTCGACTCTATCCAGGTAATTCCAGTAGAAACGATAAAGTCAGCTGTTGCATTGGACTGGGATCACAACACCAATTCGATATTCTGGACGGACGTTGACAAGGATACCATCAACCATGCCTACTTGAATGGATCACAGCAACGCGTTATCGTGGGATCTAATTTGAGTAAGTCGAACTTTACAAGACTTTGACCATGCTTATCTATCATTGTATCTTAATTAATCTGGCTTCGTTTCAGTTTGGCCAGCCGGTTTAGCCTACGATTGGTTAACTGATAAGCTGTACTGGACTGACGCTGGTACGAACAGGATTGAGGTAGCCAATGTTGATGGTAGCATGCGAACCTTGCTAGCGTGGGATAATATTGACAAGCCGAGGGATATCGTTGTGGATCCAAAAGGTAATATGCAAACCTTTCACATTGGGTTGGTTACACATCAAAATATTCAAGGTTTCACTCACATTATGTGTAATGTGTAGGTGGCGTAATGTACTGGTCAGATTGGGGTACTAATCCGTGCATTGAACGTGCTGACATGGACGGTGGGAATCGACGGCGACTCATTTTTGGTAACATGACCTGGCCTAACGGACTCGCACTGGATCTCAAGAACAGCCGCATTTACTGGACCGATGGAGGAAATCAGACTATCGAGTATGCCAACTTGGATGGTACCGGAAGAACAGTATTGATTGGTAAGATGCTTTAGTGTTGTACAGAAAAATACACGACTATATAATGCCAGATGTTTATAATAAATAAATGTTTTATTTAGGCCAACAACAACTGCCACACCCATTCGGTCTGGATCTATTCGGAGACGAGGTCTTTTGGACGGATTGGGACACACAGTCAATTCAAGCGGCCAACAAGTACACCGGAAAGAACCGTCGTACACTTGGCGCTGGTGTGGCTGGACTGATGGACGTCCGAGTTTTCCACAAAGAGCGAGTTTCTGGAGCCAATAGGTAAATTAAGAATTACTTTTATCAGTAAATAAGATGTATTAAAGTAATTAACTTAAACCTTCTAAAACAAAGTTTACCTAACCAAAATTTTCTGCTGCCAACACAGATGCGGTAAGAACAACGGTGGATGCTCTCATTTGTGCTTATTGAAGCCTATGGGAAGATCATGTGCATGTCCTATTGGAATCAAAATTGGCGTAAGTCTTCTACTCATTTCAGTTTAGGGAACTTTTACTATAATTTTTATTGACATTTTTAATGATGTGTGTTTATTTAAAATTAACAGAAGGATGGCAAGACGTGTGCAAATGGTCCCGTGAACTACTTGATATTTGCGCATCGTGTGGATATCCGAGTAGTGTCGCTAGATGTGCCATATTTAATCGACGTCCCATTACCGCTCCCAGTGCTCAAGAATGCCTTTGGAGTTGATGTAGATCACAAAACAAGTAAGTTTAAACTCAATCAAAAATCATCTTTACGGTACCTGCTCATGGTATAATTTCTACTTAAAGCAAAAGAAAAAGTTTGCACCAATATTAATCAAAACTGCACTGCAGGTCTGATCTACTGGACGGATACTGGTGAAAGGAAGATACAACGTGCTAACAGATCTGGCAAAGACATTGAGACTATCATAGGTAAAGGTTTACATACGGTTGATGGAATCGTAATTGACTCTACTGGTCGTAAGGTTTGTACTGATATTTCTCATAATTTTAATAAAACTAAATTAATATATATTTTCTTGACATGGTTCTACAAGATATTTTTGGTTACAGATCTATTGGACAGATGGTGGCAGGAATAGTGTTGAAGTCGCTGAACTTGATGGTTCCAACCGAAAAGTCCTTGTGTGGACTGGTTTAGGTAAAAGAAATGTTCACGATATTATACGTAATATGTTTCATTTGTGAGACTATTGACATACAATTGATTTTGCAGATTCTCCTCGCGCTATTGCTTTGCATTATGAGTACGGATACATGTTCTGGTCGGATTGGGGCACATCTGCCAAGATCGAAAGAGCTGATATGGACGGCACGAACAGGTAACTAAATATGAAAAATCGGAAATCAAACGTTAATGTTTTACGAGAACCAAAACTAATTGAGTATATTTCTCAGGCGAGTCATCGTGGAGAACAACATCAAATGGCCGAATGGTCTCGCTATAGATAAAATCGAGGGTCGTCTCTACTGGAATGATGCTAAAGTCCTCTCTATCGAAAGTTCTGATTTCAACGGTAACGATCGTCGCATTATTCTCAGTAATGTTCCATATCCTTATGGCATTGTTATTGTGGGACAACACGTGTACTGGACTGATTGGAGGACACAAGCCTTGCATAGAGCGGACAAGAACAGCGGAAAGAATTCTATCATTATCAGAAAGAACTTGGAGGGACTTATGGATATTCGTGCTGTTCAGGTAGGTTGATGAAAAAGTATAAAAGATAAATGAAATAGTAACTTTCATAATACATCCTAGTAACACAGGATTTGCTTCAACAGGGTGAACGAGAATTAGAAAACGTCTGTGGCAACAACAACGGTGGTTGCTCTCATCTATGCCTACGATCACCATCAGGCTACACATGTGCATGCCCAACTGGTTTACTCTTCAACTCCACCGAACCGAATCCGAAGACTTGCAGAAAATACCCTGAAAGTTTCCTGTTCTTTGCTACGAAGACCAGTATTGCTCTTATCTCGTTCGATACTCCTGAACAATGGGACGTCGCTTTACCAATAAAGGTGCAAAACGCTGTAGCTGTGGACTTCCACTGGGACAATAAACTGTTGTTCTACACTGATGTCGATATGGATGTTATCAGGTACGAAGGAAGATCTTATCTTTTAACTAGTTTGTTTTCTATAGTTAAAAAGAAAAAGCTTACTTATGCCACAATTGTTGCAGATCAATAAATATGATGAACATGAGTGATACGAAGGATGTGATCAAAGGCAACATGGGTATTCCAAACGGACTGGGAGTAGACTGGATTGCGAACAATATCTACTGGACTGACAATGAATATAAAGTAAGTCGATACTACATAAGGACATAGAACTCTTCTTAATGATGAGGAGCACTTTTTAACCCGTTGTATTGTCCTACAGGTCATAGAAGTTGCACGATTGGATGGCTCCTCGAGAAAAACTCTACTTAGCAATTTGAGTGAACCTAGGGCACTGGCACTGTTTCCAGCTAAAGGGTGAGTAGATACTAATAAAAGATACAAATTGTACAATTACTAAATCATGAGCGAGTTAATCAAATTTACATATTCACAGATACCTTTACTGGAGCGATTGGGGTCAAACTCCATGTATTGAGCGAGCCTTCCTAGACGGTAGCGAACGAAAAGTGATCGTGATTCAAGATGTAGGTTTCCCTAACGGAATAACAATCGATTACAAGGAGAGGAGACTGTACTGGACTGATGCTTTAAGACATAGAATCGATACATCTGACTTAAATGGACAACATCGAGTGCAGCTCATTCCAGAAGCTAAAAATCCTTTCGGAATGACACAGGTATTTTTCTTAAGTCCTTCATCAGAACAAAAAAGAACCTTTTTCATACTTCCATGTCTGAAACATTATTTTTCATTGTAGTTCAACGACTACATCTATTGGACGGACTGGTACAAGAAAGCAGTAATGAGAGCAGATAAGAAAACTGGTAAGAACGTAACAGCTTTGAGAACCGACCTGGAGATGACGATGGAAATAAAAGCAGTATCGTCTGAGAAGCAACATGGCTGGAACCCTTGCAAGGAAGATAATGGGGGCTGCTCTCATCTTTGTTTCTTTAGAGAACACGACTATATCTGTGGCTGTCCTGATGAAGTTGATCCGAGGCCTTGCTCAACTGGTAAGTTGATCAGATGGTTGTTTAATCCAGAAAATTTGCGAAGTTTCTAAACCAATTAAACTACATTACGTATGATGCTTTTTACAGTGCCGAAAATTCGCATCGACAACAAAATGCCGTCTCGCTACCCCTCGTTCTACGACTACACCGACATTGAAGAGGATAACGGCTTGCCTCCACCACCGACTGCAATACCAGACTCCAGCACTGGAGCTATCATCATACTGATCGCTATCATGTGCTTCATCATACTCGGCATTGTCGTTATTGCATTCGTTTGTGGTAAGTATACCGATTAAGCAATCGATTTACCATTTTGAAGGTCCTCATAAGATCCTTTACAACTTTTTCCTTATGAACATTTTTGTACGCAGTGAAAATGAGCCGAGTTCGCGACGGTGATATGAAGGAGAATTATCGCGAGTCAGGTGGTCACATATCGTTCCATAATCCCAACTACAGCTGCAATACTGGCGCTAGCGGCGGCAGCGCCGAGCAGCTCGAACGTCGACCCAACCGGTTCCAAGGCATATTCAAATACGATAAAAATCAGGTAATTACAAGTGCAATATCCAACATATTCAACAACACATATGTAGTCGCGGAGAAACTTAAGAGATTCCTGCTTCTCCTACACATTGGAACGAGTAACTTCATTTAAGAAACAGAAACATTTTAGTCTTATTGCAACTCACCAGCAAATTATTGAACTTTTTCTTGAGGGTTTATCTTGTGTTGTGCATGAGTGTAACAAAGAAGTTGTTACAGGAGCGTGTGACGAACGTGTACATCCCGGAGGGCACGAGCTTGCTGCCGCCGCCGCCGCCCCCGCCCCGCCCCGCCGCGCGCCCCGCCACGCACGACGACTTCGAACCAGTCACATTGCACTCTTACGCATAGACAACGGGTGCCAACCTATACTAAAGATATCATCTGCGAATGTTCAACGGAGCCGCGGTAGGTACTTTAAGCCAGGTTAACACCACCAGCTCAGTAGTTATTTTCTAATAACGCGTTTCCGATGGTGCGACATTGCGAACCGCGACTTTAGGAAGTACCTCCTCCAGACATTCCTATGTGAATGATCGCCAGTAGCTACGTGCGTCCGATTCTAAATAAGTATAATACTAGATATGACGTTATATGCGTCAATCCGCATACCATCAGTTTGCGTCATCAGGTTCATTGATTGGATTATGCTGTGGGATAGAAATCCTCGTAGTAATCCTACGCTGTAAATACTGTGGCTGTCGGCATTAGAGTGCTAGAACTGTGTCTATCTGATGACGAATTTATGGTATCTCGTCTCGACTTGTTCCATGTGGTTTTCACACAAACAACTGCCTTTAAGGCAACGAAACCGCACAAATATACGACTATTACTTTGTGTAATCGCATGACAACATGCGAATCAACACAACAATCGATTATTATGATCTTATTACTATACGTTAGGTTAGGAAAATAAATTACACAAATGAAGAGTATCAAAGCGATTTGAAATAAATATTTTGATTTTTTATCCATCTTTCCGATATATTTGTCAATTGCAGCTTATTACGAAAGAGATCTAGGACGACTAGACTTTATAAGATCAATACGTAAGCCAACATCTACATTAGGAAGCTATTGAATAATGATTATAATACGTATCTATATCTAGATTAGATCATAGGTACTAGGTGGTACATATGTAAAGAAACAATATCTCATGGTAACCTTACAATCGTTTGATATTCCGTCAGATGCAGATCAGTCATACATAAATGTTATTGAATAGGAAGTTATTCGTAATACAATATTTATATGAAATATGATTATTGTTATAGTTTATAGGGATAGGCAAATGTTTAGATGCATAGCAAGTCTGGACGATTTCTTGTCAAGTGTAAATAGATGTATCTATTTGTAATAAAAAAAAGGGTTTAAAGCCGCTGGACCCCATCCAATGGGTGTTTGTTAAATGAAACAACTACGATACCATGCCGCCAGGTCGCGTCTGCCCTGTATTCTTACACCGAGCGTATACCATGGGCAAGATATATAGCAGCATGGTACCGAAGTCAGCAAAGAACAGATAATAAATTTATTAATATTTATTATTTTTGTACAAGTCTCATCTATCGGTCGTCGCCTGCGGCTCACAGGGAAGATCGATAGCGACTTTTATACTGTAAGATATGTCCCGGGGTTGAGGTTCATGTCCTTGTTACTTATAAACAATGTCCTAACTAGTTGATGTCTACTATATTACGTACACGTTTTATTTTATTTAGTTTTATAGTGCGTATGTATTTCAGCCCCAAAAAGCATAAGTTTATGAGTAACAGGACTCACCCGGACATTTCTGTAGAGTGGGAAATGTTTGCTATAAAATGATGTCCCGACCTCGTTTATGGGTGCCGTTAGAATGTTTGTACTAAAATAAAGAAACGTAGTAACACATCACAATTTATACTATCTACCAGTGAATCAAAATTCACTCGAAACAGATATTTATCACTTTCAATACAATCCGATGTTAGAATAAACTCACCAGGTTTAAAATGGTGACAATAAAATATCAGTGTAAATAGTTAGTTTTAATTACCAATTATGTTGACCGACCGAAATTGTATATAATAGTTTATTTGTACCTTGTACGTTATATAAAATCAACTGTTTTATGTTGAATGAACGCCCGCTGCCGGGCTTGTCTCCTACATGTTACACGTTCGTCTCATATCAGATTAATTCATTTAGTACCTAATTAGAATTAATATTATTGATTAAATTTATTTACTTACTCTCAAATCATCTGTCATCGATGATAATGAATCACTATTTATTCAAATTACTATATTATCTACTTATATATTTTATTATGTTTATCGATGGACTTTCAAGACATACCTAACTGGAAAATGTATAAAGTTTCACAGGGTGTTTTAAACTAAGGTAGCGTTAGGGCCCTAAACCGGGCGCAGATACGGTGTAACTTGCATTTGCTTTAATATATTTGTTTAAAACACCAAAGCGAACAACGCCAATCTACAATTAGGGGCGGTTCGAATGCTGTCAAACATTTATGTGGCCATTAAAATGATGATATTATTATTACTTTATATTGAAATGACGAAAAAACTATAACGAAAGTTCCTTTTCTGAAATTATAAACTTCAATCCGATATTTTAGTGCTCAAGACTTTCAGTATTACTATTAGTATGTATGTACGTTTATTTCTACAGAATGTATAATTATTTATTAAGTATGTATACGTCTATATGTGTTGTTGTAAAATGTCCAAGACTATTCAAACAATAATATATAATAGTATGTGTAATACTTGTTATGGGTACTAACCGCACCGTGTAAACAATCCGGCCTCTTCTAAGTTACTAGATAACCGACATATAATGTGTCCCTACAATAACTATGTTCGTGACTCTTACAATCCTCTTTTTCGTCGGTTGGTTTATTATTTAATAAATTTTCAATTATAATAAATGTCTAGATGGAGACGATAAATATCCATTCCAATTCTTGAACGAATTAAAGAGGCTTGGAAGAATTATTTCAAATTCTTCATACCTAATGTTTCATAATAGTTTTAAGATATATTTTATGTACATTGTTTTGTTACATAGCTTTTAAGGGATGGGAAACTAATATAGTGAGTGCTGTGATACCGAATGCTTTGAAAGTGTAGTGTGGTAATCAGCGATGGTTATATATTGTATACATTTATTATATATTACTTTATGTTATTAGGCCCTGTCGTTTATTTGAACGTCATTGTAATATTTACGGAAGGGAAGTCAACAATAAATGTAATTCAAATTCCCATAATAACTACTAACGACTAGCATTTTATTGTGTAAGTATTGTAACATTTATAAAAGAAGGTATATATTATGTGCCAAATTTAAACTTACAGTATTTTAACAAGAGTGGTTGGGTTCGGGAATGATTATAATTAAATTAATAGTTAATTAATTAAACAGCTTTTACACCTTTGATGCCTCCTTTTATAGAGGTGTTAAAACTGTTGTCAAATTTATTATTGTACTGACTTAAAGAATAGAAATTATCCCAATATATTCGTGTTTTATTTACTTGGACCTACCACATACCCCGCCACAAACATGCTAATAAGACAGACATATATATTTAGTTACCTGTTGCCAAACACCAAATAATAGTTATTACAGAAAGTTCTGATAATGCAACAGCTACTACCACAATCAAACACACCTACCACACAGAACCATTTTTACTTTTACTTTTTACTTTTTTTTGTTTTGTTTTATTGATGTTATTATTTTTTTTTCTCTCTCTTTATTATGCTTCTTCTGACAATAACCTTTCGCCCTGGATTAGCTCACTTTGTTCTGTAACTTTTTTGTTCCTGTCCGTTATCATGGTCCTATCCAGGTAATTGTTATCGCAACGGCTTATTCTTATAGTTTAATTTCGTATGTACACTGACTTCTAAGATACAGGTGTTTTCCTAGTTTAGAAGCCTGACTTCTAAACCAGGAAAAAACCCTTTTGATCTGGCCACAGTCATGATCCTGGAAATGCAAAAAATGTGATCTCTTTGGTAATAATAAAGATTTTTAATTTTTTTTAACTTGTTTTACCTAGGGATTGAAACAGATTACTCTGTTTCCACACAAAACTATACATATAAATAAAAATACAAAAGAATAAAATACATGTACTAGTTTATTTCATATGAACCGTACAATTACATACATACTCGTCGTTACACTTAGTCAACAACATGAAGATAACACTTAGTACATAGATATATTAGATATAGACAATACAATAGTGTTCACAGATAATGAAACCTGTCTCTCTGACGTCACAAAATGGGAAGGGTGAGTCACAAAAGGTGACAAGCTAGCAAACCTCTTTATTAGCGATACAATGGCGTAAACTGTGACCTCAGATAAACAAAGCTTCCCATAAAAAGGTATTAAAAATAGACAGTTTCACCCATTATACCTTACACATAAGGTACATTTTCTATTGACAATTTTATATATCATAATTTATTGCAAATAAATCCAGCAGACAGCGTGACTAATTAAGAGTAACCGCCTTAATAATTATATTCAAACTCTCAATTTGTCCACCTTAAAAATATATTTGGTAACATATTCGATTTTGTTCCGTAAATTATATTTACAAATGAATGATACCTACTCCTTGCTGTGATCAATAAATTCATAATTAGTAACTATATAATATAATTTCTGTCCTTTTATATAATCTTAATATTAGAATACTTTTATGGTCACAATAATTTATTAAGCTAATCTAAGGAGAGTTCCTATGTGATCTTAGATCACACATCATATCGAAAATAATTTTAATAGACACCACGTCAGAATCAAACATGCAAAGTCTACATTTGCGTTATATTTTAACATTTAAAAAATATATTATTCATGTTAACTATATTTATAGTAAGTGTATTATTTTTCCAACAGTTTTTAGTAAGAAAATCATTAGAAAACGTACAAACGTTAGAAAAGGTGCGTTCATAACAAATGCTCGGTGCAATGCATTTCAGAAAGCGAGCAATAAGTCGACTTTAACTGTATAATCTATTTATATATATATAAAAGAAAGTCGTGTCAGTTTACACTATTTGTAACTCAAGAAAATTGATGGGGATGTAGCTTAAAATCAGGAGACAGACATAGGATTTCCCGAAAGTCCTAAGAGAACGGGAAAATACGGGATTCCGCGCAAGCAGAAGTTAGTATCTACTATAATAAATAAGTATTTATGTCACTTGTACAAGGAAAATGGAATGATAAATTAGGACTAGTAGTGGTGGGAGGCATACAAAAATAATCTTTTATCGATTTGGATATTCGACAGAAATAACCAACACATTATTAAAAATATACCTACATCTTTGTTAGCTTCTAACATCTAAAATAAATATTATTCGACACACATCGATGGGTGAATTTCCTAGCAGTAACTATATAGGTATGGTTTTACTACATTAAAATTATGTTATTACTATTACAAATAACCTCAATGTGAATACTTTTTATAGTCCCATTAGGACTGCACCTTATTAGATAAATAATATAGAAATTGAAAAATTATAGGAAATTACTGACAATATCTGGAATGTAAAGAGAAATTAAAGAAACGAAAGTAAATTGTTGGTATGAATTAAAAATTATTTTTCAGAAATTTTTGTTTTCTATTTATTTAAATATCATCAGAATTCGAGTTTCAGCGTCTATCAGATATCAGGTACATATTCGTAACGATTACAGATTTGGAACATCGATAGATTTATTTTAGTAGATACCTATAGTTCGATACATGAACTTATAGTAATGCGACAACCGTGCATTCTTTGGCACAACACTATAACAAATAAAGTAACGTTCACAAAATATTAACTTGTATATATTAGGAATAAGCTATCTAATTTGAAGATGAAATGTTTAAATCATATTGCATTTCAGGCATATAAAAAATAATTTATTTTAAGCGTATGACAAAGCTAGGAAGAAAATGAGGCCTTTTGTCTATTAAATAATAAAACAAAATAAATTCGAGATTATATTACGCTATGTATCTTTACGAGCAACGAGGTATACGAACTTAAATCCTGAGATCAATACATTTTTACTATCTAATTAACTTAATCATTAACTCGTATTTGTCCTACCTCTTAATGACATGCGTCCTTATATCGAATTATTAAAATGTGTACAAAAATCAAAACGTAGAAAGAGAGCTCCGTTTGTAAGATCGTTCCAAAAGTTTTTTTTAGAATAACATTTTAATTTTGGCTGTGTTCATTTTTAAACAATTTAAGTACAGTGGCCGCAGAACAACCAACTTCAATCTTTCAATATTATTCATTGGATTTTCGACTTTATCTCAATACAGTAAAGTTGAAGATATACTAGAGAAATTCGAGAAAAAAAGGGCAGGTTCACCTGCTGGCCACCGTATATAAAACATGTAGTATGCAGGCTGTAGAGAGCACTCTCGTCAGATCAAAAAACTGGGTTGAGGATATGAATGTTAATAACTGGGTTGAGATTTTGAATGTTAAAAACTGGGTTGAGATTTTAAAAAAGGTGATATCCATTATTAAAGAAGATATGTGCAGTCATTTTGAAGTATCAACATTGTAAACTTGTTTAACATAAGGGAATGTCTCTCAAAGAGTGCTTTTATTTTTGTATAATATTCCTCCAAGTGTTCGGATATAATCCCTGTAAGATTACAACTACGTACTTTTGATATATCTATTGTCATGGCTTACCTTACCTAGTGAGTTACTGATAACGTTTGAGCTCTGGAAATACTTCTAGAAGTACCAATTCGAACAGTTCCTGTAACCAACAGACATAAATTAATAAAAAGAATATAAGCAATGAGGCAGATACTTATCATCTTAACAATATTACACACTAGTAGCGAACCCACATAAAGTATCAACTCAACATTCAAACTAACAAATTCGTGATATATGAACAATTCTTTCAAAGATTTCATTCTCTGAGCGAACGTCTTAAATACAAAGTCGACACGCGGTGTCCACGTCTTCCGCACAGTTGTCGCGACAATTCACATATATCAACTGCGGGCGGCGACATTTTTAGCGTCCAACACGCGTTTTTAGCTACAAAATGACACGCCAATAATTTTAGATCGCGGTGTTTGTGATACGGAGGCGTAACACGTTGGACTGTAGTGTAGGTACAATGTATTTATTATCAGTTGCGGTTTGAGAGCCCGTTGAGACGACCACTTTCATAAAACGGTACTGGTGGCGCTCTTTACATTTTTTGAACAATAAATACAACAATCTAGAAAAATAAAAAATATACATAGTCATTAAAATTAACGTTAATAAATTTTAGTGCTGTGAAAATATTTTATCGATAAACAATTGTGCGACTCAAAAATGCCGATAGTGTTCAGTGCTGTAGCTAGTGACAGAAGCATAGTGTCCAACTTCGCGTCTTGCGATGGAAACTTCACTGAAATTGCTGAACAAGTGCTGTCTAAGTTACCGGCTTGTAACAATAAGATGACATATTCACATGGCACGTATCTACTGCATTACATATCGGAAGATGATTATTTATACTTCTGTATAACAGACAAAGTAAGTTTTGAAATGCATTCATCTTATATTATTATATAAAGTGGAAGAGTATGTTTTTTTGTTTGTTTGTTTGAACGCGCTAATCTCCGTAACTACAAGTCTGATTTGAATAATTCTTTTTTGTGTTTGATAGTGCATTTATCGAGGATGGCTATAGGCTATAAAACATCACGCTACGATGAATAGGAGCTGAGGATCAGAGCGTGTGAAACCGCGCAGAAGTAGCTATTTATTAATAATTAGACAACGTAAAAAAATATTTTGTGAATCTAACTCGAGAACATGCGTTGGATAGACATTCGACTAACGCGGCATCAATAATTTATATTAAATACTTACACGTGTAATTTAAAACTCATACTATCTTAAACACCACTTAACAAGATGCACAAAATAATTCGCATGTCATGTTTTAAATCTCGCCTTTATAGTTTTACGCAGATAATAAAGCAATCATAAATGTCGTAGACATTACGTGATATTTGAATTAAATAGATACTTTCCTCGTTCATGACCGTCAAGACATAATTAATTTTGTTTATCATCAAACGCCCACGCGAAATATCATAAAAATACTCGAAGACTATTTTCGTCCTTATGAAAAAACGCGATTTCAGACATTTATTATGAATAGTTCGTCAATGTGAATTGACTTTGAATATTTACAGGGTATAAAGTTTTCCTTTGGACTTATAAATGTACAAAGTATTATGACGTCACAAGACAACATGACGCGTTTTAATTCCGGCCGCTTTATATAAATGTTAGTTTATACACTTTTCGGTTACGACGTTATTAGTTGTACGTAATAAAGGACAAACCCAACGTACCCAAAACATACATTAGGCATTATTCCTGATCTCATTTCTCAAAACGCAATAATCTATAACCAAGAAACCAGCCAGGCAGTAGTGGTTTAGCAATCGTGATAATAACTATCGAACCAACGAAGCAACAGCGCTTTATTCATTTTCAACTTCATAAAATGTATTTGCTGGCATCCAAAAATAAAATTTAGACTAGAAATGAATGTAGTATAAGCTTTATTTTATTTTGATAACAAAATATAATATTTTTGTGTATAGAACGAGGTACTCGTATACAAAGGAATGTGGTTATTTTCTCTTAACTTTTTCATTACAAAACTGTTCAGTTTCGTATGCGCAACTCGATATTTTAAAGACTGGTGATTATATTAATCCTTGCATCATTTGTCAATGTCGTAAGTTTTCTTATATCTGGTGTGATGTCTTTTTACTTTTTAATTTGGCTATTAGTCTTACTATGTTTAATGAATTGTGATGTCATAACATCACAGCTGTTTTTGTCTGTAAGGCTTCTCTTTCGGACCAAAACAACTAGAGAAAAGCAGAGGTGCGTTCATTTATATTTAAGGAAACCTTGATGCAAAATACGAAAAGCAAAACAGTCCCAGTGCAGTAAACTAAGTTCTCATTGTATGTGGCAAATGCTACCCTATAGCAATAGGTCTTTGTTCAACACTGAACGTATATGGAAATGATTGACTGTTATTTTCGGCATTTGATTTTGTTTCAGCATTGCTTCTCAGAGTAGTTAGGAAATGACGGCCTTATCTGGTATTTTTAAGAGAAATGGACAGGTAAAAGAGCTGTTTTGTAGTCTATTTGCAAAAATAAATTCACTTGTTTAAGACTGTGCAATTTTACAAGACAAATTTCAATTACCAACGAATCACTTTAAATTAAATTTTAACGTAAACTAATAAGCATAACATTAATTATCAGGGACGCTAGTCGAACTTGTTGCCAAGTGTTTGTAATTATCTTGTCATTTGTCAGCCGTGTAGTAATACGGTAATGTTGATCTCAGACAGCTGTCGATTATAGGTGCAGTGAAGCAAAGCTTTGGGTAGTCATATTACTGAACTTTGTTGCCACGGCTGACAGTTACGAAAGATTGAAAATAAATAAATAAAAACATTTTCAATGGGGATAAACTGAGGCTAGAAAATTGTATCATTTAATTATTTTGTTTTTAAGCTTAGCGGCTAGTTTAACCTATAAACGGTTTAGCTACTTTATTTTTTGTACTGAATTTTGTATCCTATAATAGGGCTGACATTTTCCTCTGATAAAAACCCTCTAATTTAATAAAATTTAAAAAAAATGGGTGGAACATTTATTATTCTGTGATTAATAATAAAAAAAGTAGTAATGTAAAGCAATTAAGAAAGTAAAAAACAAATATCAATTTACAATACTACTAATAAGGAAATAACCGACAACAATTTCAAACCACTAGAAACATCTCAGTTTCGTTTCCATATTCCATATTCACTTTTATTCTTACCTATTCGGGCTTAAGATGTCAACCTGCGCCAAAGCACTAACAAGAGTTATTAATACAGAAATACAGTCAAACCCAAAACCATAATGATAATAAACCAAGGAATTCACACTAATAAAAAATAGCATAACATAACATCACGCCTTTTATCCCCGAAGGGGTAGGCAGTGGTGCACATTACGGCACCTAATGCCACTGTAAAATGTATGTAAGTATAATGTAATAAAAAATCTTTTATTATTTATCAGCTATGCCAACGATCCAGGGCATTTTTATTCCTGAACGAGATACAAAGGCAGTTCATAGCAAGCAGGCGAAGTAAAGAAGACTTCACGACGGTGTTAGCAGCCGAAATGTATCGATACAGCGAGGACTACAACACCATTGTTATCAGAAAAGGCGAACTGGATGAACTAAATAGTATTGGTGTCGGATGCAGTGGTAAGGGACATTTCAATATTTATTATTAGAACTTTGTTTTTAGATATATGAGTAAAAATATTAAATCCCGGAATTCTATCTTTTAAACCACTTTATGGTTGAAATAAAAAGTGTTCGCGACCCGGGAAAAGACATAGAATAGCTTTTATCACAGAAATGTTACAGGGCGGATACTGTACGGGTAAAGCCCCTATGGAATTGTTTATTTTTAGGAACCACGAAATTAAATTCATTTCACAATAAATCTAACTTAGTTACTAAATCGGTTGTACCTTGGAAAATACTAATTCATAAACCATAATTCTGTCAGAAGTCATTATTCTACGCGGACGAGGTAGCGAGCAACAGCTAGTAGGATCAATAAAGGTTACTTTAAGGTGGACAAACGGCACTACACGTGGACTTTTGTATCTAGACGATCTATAAGTGTGTTTCTGACCTCCTGGGAGCGGAAAAGATTAATTTTAGAGTAAAAAATTAATAGCGCTACTTAATTTTGATTTTTTCTTTGCAGAAAGTATTCTGGGCGAGAAGATTCTGTATATCAACAATCCACATATAATTTCATACAGTGTAAGTTATACTTTTAATAGTCCCCTATTGTGTTGTTAATTATATTTTGTTTTGTAAGCCCACTAGGGCTTATACTCCTATTACTAAATAGGAGTTGGCTTAAATCAGTTATTAGACAAATATAACGCGATATCCTGCCTTGGATTATTATTCATGACACTAGACCAACTAAGTTGGTCCCAAAAATTATAAACTTTAAACTATACTAACAACCAATCAATTATATTTCCAGACTATCTCTCACATAAGCGCGACTCCAGCACTTCTATCAGTATCAGCCACGAGTTCAACTGAAGGAGAAACAAAAGAAAGTCTACCTTCAGACTCAGTATCACAATTAGCCAAAGAAAACAATACTTCAAGAGACATATCAACAGTCTACCCAAAACAAGAAAGTATATCAGTAATACCACCAAAGGAAAGTGTACAAAATATGTCTGCAAGACTGTACATAGTAATTGTAGGTATGATTATACTTGTAATAGCAATGTCTGTGTGTGCCTTCGGACCGATTTCCTGTGTTGTGGTCACTGGTATAGGAATATATTCGCTCTTACGATCTTACGTTGGTTTTAAGAATAAAGTTGATTAGGTCATTTAAAATTTATGTTTAGCATTTAATTATAGGTCTAACTTTGGAATATGGAAGCACTTTTTGTTGATATTTTCGCACATTGGGTGTATTAAATGCATTTTACTGTACCGGTTTTGTTTTATTTTAAAAACAGCAATAAAAAAGTAGATGATAAAACATTTAAATAATAAACAGCACATGTTATTTAATGTTTATTTTGCGAACTGTGTCATTTAAAAATAATACGTAATGGTTCAGATTACGCTACAAATCCATGTGAGAATTTTAGTATTTAGATCAATACACGCCAAGTCTAGCTCAGTGGTGTTGCCAAATGTCCTAGATTAAGCTGCCAGTTTTGACGAATACCTGTCCTGTCACAAATATAAGACATGTCTTTGTTTCTTCACTGTCTCATTAACGAAGATTAATATTCTCTGGGTGTTATATGTATGTGAATTTTTGTAAACGCACCCACGGCACAGGAGAAAATCCTTGTGTGGGGCAACGATTTTTTTAAAGAAAAAGATATTTTTAATTTGGTCCTTCTTTAATATATCGCCCATTTAGTTGATTCGTCTAGAGGACTCTAATTATTACGGTAATTAACTATCCAAATTGTTGGAGAAATTGTAAAAGAAGATGTGGTAATAAAATAAGGCCCCAAGAACGGTTCGGTATACTCACATAGAACAGTTGCTTGTTGTGCGTGGTGTCCTGCAGCGTGTAGTACAGTTTGTGCGCGCCCCGCGCGGCGGCCTGCGCGCCCACCAGCGACGCCAGCGCCTCCACCACGCTCTCACTCATATACTCACATAGAACAGTTGCTTGTTGTGCGTGGTGTCCTGCAGCGTGTAGTACAGTTTGTGCGCGCCCCGCGCGGCGGCCTGCGCGCCCACCAGCGACGCCAGCGCCTCCACCACGCTCTCAGTCAGTTGTTGCCGCGCCAGCGTACACGTGTGCTCTGCGTACAATTTACTTTTGTAACACTTTTTTATATTTTTTTATGGGGTAAGCTGGTAAACTAGCAGACGGATCAACCGATGGTAAGCAATCGGCGTCGCCCATGGATACCTGGAACACCTGAGGCGTTACAACTGCGTTACCGGCCTTTTGGGATTGGGAGTTTGAGGATTGTTGGGGATTCAGGGATTGAGGAAGGGGGGGGGGGAGTAATTGGGTAATTGGGCCTCTCTCACTCAAACGACGAAACGCAACGCAAGCGTTGTTATATACTTTTTAGTCCGACGTTTGACCACTATCTCGCTTGGTGGTAAGCGATGATGCGGTCTACAATGGATCACGTAGTCCCATAAGCAATCTATTAAATATTTTCGTTAAATTACGGTAAAAATAACTGATTTCATTAATTCACGTAAACCATTCGAGAAAAGCTCAACCAATTTCAAGTGACACCGGGACTTTAATTCATCATGAGCAGAGTTGGGTTATGTATTACGGCAGTCATTACATAAAAGCACGTAGTTTCAGGTTACGTAAATTTATAGATGTAGTAGGTACTTTATCGATTAATGTTACGAAGAAGGTAAGTAATTTAAGTTGACAATCCATGCAAAACTGTACTACAATGAATTTACCTTTATCCTGGAAGTTTCTATTGGAAGTATTCTCGGACAGGGTGCCGCCCGGCCACCACGACTTGAGAACTACACTGATGTAGTAGTGCAGCATTTGTTCAGAGAACAACCACGTCACTGTCTCTTTGATTTGCCTGAAAATTTACATCACGTTAGGAAAAGAGTAGTAGCCTCATATCTTGTGGGGTGCGGTGCCAGAAGACCTTCCCGTGGTACATCCTGGGTGCGGGCGACAGTCTCCCTAACAGTGCCTTTAGCCAAACGCCACTTTAGCGCTTGTCTACAGAGAGAGTAGAAAACTAAATGTATGGGGATGACACTGACAAGTGTCAAAATTTACGTCAATTCCATGTAATTTGGTTTTCTATTCTACATGTAGACAAGCGCTAAATGGCATTTGGCTACAGCTGCAGGGGTAATAGAATTGGCGTGACTGTCGCCCGCAGCAGACTTCTAAACAGGGCGGGCGAAACCGAGACAGGTTCTGGAGGCGGCGGGCTGTTTGCGGAAACGCTGTGACTCCGCCCGTCTCTCTGGAATTAGCAGAGAGCGTGGCGGAGAGGCAAGGTCGGTGCTCGTTGTGCACTCACCTTGCCAACGAGCAGCATCGGAACACAAGCTGTGCCCGATTGCAGCCATCGATATTGTAATCCGTGAAGAGATCATGGTCATGTCATGTCTCCCACATGGGGAGCCTAAGAGGCTCTGGAGGACGGCGGCGGGTGGCAAAGCGCCGGCGAGGCGAAGATAGTCGCCAAGGAGAGCCGGAAGCGCCGCAAGAAGGTGCAGCGGCATCGGCGGCACCAGCATCGCAGGGAAAAACACGCTGCTGCCTTGCTCCTCGTCCCTAGGACCGCGGCTGTAGTGATTACGCTGCATATAGCAACGACGACGAAGACATCCTCCCAGAGGTGACCGAGGTAGAACTGAGAGCGGCGACGGCGGTGCGCCGGATGGGCGCCAAGAACACCGCCCCAGGACCCGGCGGATTGCATGGCAAGGCATGGGTCCTGGCCTCAGAGCCTCTCGGGCCTCGATTAATCGGTCTCTACAGCGCATGCGTGGAGAAAGGCCAGTTCCCGCTGCTCTGGAAAGCGGGTAAACTGGTCCTCGTGCGGAAGACGGGGCGCCCTGCGGACTCTCCGTCCACGTACCGGCCCATAGTGCTGCTCGACGAGGTGGGGAAGGTCTTCGAAAGAATCATTTCGTGCCGCCTCGTCGCGCACTTGTCGGACATTGGGCCGGACTTGTCTTGTGGACGGCCAGTTCAGCTTCCGTATAGGGCGCTCCACGGTGGATGCAATCATGCGCGTTAGGGACCGGACGACGGGGACTGCAGTGTCCAGGGGTAAGGCTTCAAAGTTGGAGAGAACAGGGTCGGCGTTTAAGCGCATCCTACCCAATCTCGGGGGGCCAAACGCCTCCTGCCGAAATTTATATGCCGGGGTCGTGCGGTCCATGGCCCTCTACGGCGCCCCTGTGTGGGCGCCGAAACTGATGCAGCGGCCCGCTCGGGCCCTGCTGATGTCACAGAGGGTCTTGGCGATCCGAATGATCCGCGGATACCGCAAGATCTCCGGGCACTGGCTGAGCACCGCCGTGCCCTCAGGGACGTGATCGGCGATAGCGACCTCTCGCGTCCGGCCCTAGTGCGGGCCATGATGTGGAGCAAGGGGGACTGGGATGCCGTCTCCTCCTTTTGCGAAGCAGTCATGCTAGCTAAGGAGGAGGCGGGACGCGTGAGGCAGCGAAGCGCTGCCTCCTCGCAACCCAGCCATCGCGAAGAACACACCGGGCGTCGGGGATCGCGAGACGATCTCCGGCCACCGTAAGCGCGGGCCTGCGGACGGCGACCATGGCTCCCTGTCCGACCAGAAACAAACCCGAGCGTACGGTGCGTCGCATTCCGCGCCCGCCTCAAAGAGCCATCAGACCATCACGGATGGGGCCCAACAGGGCTGATGCCGATTCGGAGTAACGGAGAACCTAACGGGTTACCGGGGCTCCGACGTTCCTTCTCTTGACGTGCAGGAGAAGGAACGGGGTGGTTTATAGTCAGTAAGAGTCTGAGACTCCCTCCCGCCTCACCCAGGCGGGAGTAGCCATTCGATGTTTTTCACGCCTTAAAAAATAAAAAGCCTTATATCTTGTGACGTGTTTGTCGTCATTCAATCCATATTTCACATTACTATTGAGAGTCAATTAAATAATGTTACATACGTAATAAAGAAATGAATGTATGACCTCTTTGCTTAACTATTGGCGGCCAGGGAGATCTATGGCTCTTATATAATAAAAGTGATGGTACCTGTTAATAGTCCTGCCGTATGTGATCTGTACGAATGTGACGAGAGTCTTCCTGAGCCAGCGGAATACGCCGCGCATGTCGAACACTTCGCTCAGTAACGCGTACAACGGCTCCGCTATACTATCTCTTTCCTCTGCTATGGCGCCAGCACCTAGAAGAAATCGATTTATTAAAATAATTTCGAATTGATTTTAATCTCGATTAATTTCATCAATGATGGTACACAAAAATATTAAATAGCCATCTATTATGAACCTACAAGGTTCACTATTGTTCACCATCGGACATAGTAAGTTTTAAGTGTAGGAGAGCCATACTTCGGCATGAATAGGCCGGCTCGACCGGAGTGATACCACGGCCTCACAGAAGACCGCCGTGTAACAACGCCTACATTGTGTATCGTCGTGTGAATGAGGTTACCGGAGGCTCAATTCCCTCCTTCTTCTCCCAATCTCCCCAATACCTGAATCCCAAGAATTATCAAATTCCTAATCCCTAGAAGGCCGGTACCGTACTTGTAACGCCTCTGGTGTTCCGGGTGTCCATGGGCGATGCCGATTGCTTACCATCAGGTGATACGCCGGCTCTTTTACGGGTAGTCCCATAAAAAATGTAGTGCTGATTAAAAGTATTTTGTAGTTGTCATTTTGCAATTTTATGCTGCATACATAATTAATAATATATGTAGTAATCAGTATCACATTATGTTATTGATTCAATAGAACATTCCACCTTTCAATTCATGTAGTGAAGTAGGCTACAATGGAAAGGTAGCTAACACTCACCACGCAATGAACTAGTCATACTCTTGCTATTGTTATCAGATCCGTTCCCGTCCAAGTAGAGCGAGATCTCGTCTTCATCAGCAGATAGATGTGTGAACTGCTCCTTCTCCTGCGACGACCTGTTTGTCGCTTCACTGCTTGTACTGTAGACAAATGATTTCAATGTTGTTAAATTATTTAAAACTTGTTTAGATGAAGGGTATAGGGTAGTTTCCAAGGAATGAAAATTAAAAATCTAATTAGTAGATACTGTATCTAACTGATAATATCTAACTGACGGACTAATTAGATTTTTAATTTTATGGAAAAAATATTAGACAAGTTTTTTATTTTATTTTATCGTATAAAGTTACAATACTTATATAAAATGGTTAAGTTTAGGAGTAAGGGGGAGGTCGTTACGTCACTGAGTGCTACAAAATGTAGGGCATAGTGACGTCACACGATATTTCAGATTAATATATCGTCGAAAGTATTTAATTTTGTGAGAAAAGAAAAAATACGTGTCTAATGTTTTAAATTAATCTAACAGACGGACATTAAAATACAATTTAGGCATCTACCCTATTACAGTGTCACGCACTTCTTTTATTTTTAAAGGGCCTGTAGGCCTGGCCTAAGGCCTCTCTTGCCAAGTGCCAGTACTCTGTGCCACTCATTTTCTTTAGGTCTGTTAAACACAAAAATTGGAATGTTACATCTACTTTTCGCCAGTTATGGTATATCCTCATATAATAAATTTGAAAATCAACAAAAATAACGGTTTTGTTCGATTTAGAAATTGATTTCAATGCCCCTCAGGAGGTTACTGTAGCGACTACTCAAGCTTCGGAATCCTGAATAAGTCTAAGAATAGATATTAAAATTGCCTTACCTCTTAAACAACGTAGAAAAAGAGAACTTATTCTTCTTTGGTAAGTCACCCTGCTTCAGATACTCAGAGCTCGGGTTGAGGAATGTGTATAAAGCTTCGCTTTGGTTTAGTCTATCGTCTTCTAAAACAAACTGAAAACAAAAATGGTATATTTAATGCACAATACACAAGAAGACCGCATTGAATAAGATTTATTATTTATTTATGTTATCAGAACATAACATCACGCCTTTCATCCTCGAAGAGGTAGGCAGAGGTGCACATTACCGTAATGAATGCCACTGTAATGGTAATGTAACACCCACTTTTCACTACACACTTATGTTATGAGTCCCAAGTAATAGGGGGTAAGCCTATTGCCATATACCGGGCACATTTCCAGATTCCGTGCTACAACTGATATTCTTTTTAAAAACCCAGTACTACTTTGCGCGACCCGAGAATCGAAACCGAGATCCCTTGTCCGGCAGTCGCACTTGCGACCACTCGGCCAGCGAGGCAGCAAAACGTGAAATATAAATACACATCGGTGTAGTTATTGTAAAATATACCAAAATACTTACTTCTAAATATTTCTGTATTAAAATCTTAGCTTTCTCTAAGGAGTTTCTATCGTTCTTTCCGAATAGAAACTTGAACGAATTCGTTGGTAGTTCTAAATTCTTCAACTCCGCACACATAGGCCGTAACTTTCGATGTAGTTCCTGAAACACAACAAACATCGCGTACACGTCCTGACACACACCTACAGCCTATTAATGGCCACTGCTGACCAAAGGCCTCATCTACTCGCCAGGCTCGTCTAGCTAGAGCGCGGCCCGTAGTGGCGTAAAAAACCACTCCTGCCGAGACAGGCATCGGCCTGGTTCGCGCGACGCTCTCTTCTCACAAGGACAAGGTTTGAGCATAATCACCACGCATGCTCAATACGCGTTGGCGATTGCAGACTAATAATTATAAATTATAAGTCCAGGTTTCCTCACAATGTTTTCCTTCACCGTTTGTCAGTGGCGGCTAAATAATCTTAGAAAGACATTTAATTCGTTAAAAAGTCACATTGGTACTTGGTTGGTTGGCCGTTGGTAAGTTTGGAACCGGCGCCTTCATGCATGAGAAGCAGGCGTCTTAGCCTCCGGGCCACCACGACATTTACTTATACATCATTATAGACAACAGTTTGATAAACAGTAAGAAATATTCAAGATAAATAATAATATGTCACTTAAGGACAATACTAATAAAAAGGTTGTGTACCTGAAATTCGTTTAAAGTCCTAAGCAGTACCCATCCAGTGGTAATTTGTTCCGGTCTCTCTTCATCTGTCATGGACTCTTGTTCCGCCATATGCACCACTATCACGAACTGTGGTGGTTTGGACTCATCTATAATCTGAGAGAAAATAAACGTTTATAGACTTTAAAATTACCTAACGAAAGTGTACATATACATAAGTTACCTATATTCTTTATGTTTTAAAATTGTGTGCTGGCTTCGAATCAACCGCTTCATTTCTCTGCAGTTCCTTATGGTTGACTGTCAGATAATGCCTTAAGGCATTAAACCCGCCATTCACAGCAACTTTTTTGTGAAGAATTTAAGATTTAGGTCAAGAGGAAGGTCACCGGTGACCGCTTGGGGATTTATGGGTTAATTTCCACTAATATTACATTACATTATAGACCTTATTTTTAATGTTTAGAGACTACTTTTGTATGACCAAATTTAGGGGATGGATTTCAATGGGTTAAATTAAAAATGCACTAAGTACAACTTTCTTGCAGTTATTTGGTGCGTACTATTTCAGTGAAACCAAACTTCAGAATAAAAAAAAATGGCAAATCTCAGTAATTTTGTGCCCGACTAAGAAAACGAAACTCAAATAATATCTTTCTTCAACCACCGTTTCAACCACTCGAAATATATATTTATCAGCCAAAATAAATTCATAAGTTACCTCAGCGCTATGGACAGAGGCCCGCCACCGACCAAGATGTTCAGCCCAGGTGTCAGTCCTGGCTAGATGAGCTTCCAACCTCATCTGTTCGCCTGCTAACTTCTCTACTTCATTTGCCAGCATAGCTAGCGCAGGGGATTCGGGTTTCAGTGATGCGCGAAGAGCTGCTAATGCCTGATGAAAGAAATATTTGTATTGAAAGTAAATAATAACTAAACGCGCCTAGCTTCACTGACAGACAGACGGATGGACAATTCAATTTTTGACGTTTCAATTAAGGATTTTTGAAATAAATGCTTTGACATAACATAACATCACATCTTTTATCCCCGAAGGAGGCAGAGGTGCACAATATGCCACTGTACAATGTAACGCCCACTTTTCACTATTTATGTTATGAGTCCCATGTAACAGGGGGTGAGCCTATTGCCATGTACCGGGCACAATTCCAGACTCTGTGGTGCTACTTAGTTTAGCACTTATTTGTGTGTAAGTTAAGTTATTAAGCTTTCCTTATACAGTGTAACATGGGAACGAACCAAACATTCTATTACTAAATAAAACACATTTTTATAATTAAAGGATAAACCAGAGTATAAGGCTTCAGGACTCGTAAATAGAAACATGGGATGATATACGACGGAAGGTTTCGTGATGAAATCAAGAGTTTGTTCTAGTTACTGGTATGTAGGCAGTTTAACTGATCATCTTTATCATAGCATTGCTCGCCATCGACAGGGGGTTCACGCTCACTCATTGGAGCCAAAATGGTCCCGTACAGTTCGGTTTCAGAGGAATTTTCTCCCTGCCGTGGTTTTCCCAGTAGGCTACAACATGAGGTTCTTCAAGAGGGCAGTGAATAGATTTCCTAAGGGTCGGCAAGTCTCATGTAATGCCCCAAGTGTTGCAGGCGTACATAGGCAACGGTAACCGCTTACCATCAGATGGGCCGTGTGCTTTTTTGCCACCGTCGTGGTATAAAAAAAAATCATACATAGTTCGTGTCATCAGATATGTAATAATACCTACTTGTATTTTATTATTATGTCGTTCCTGCAGCTCGTCTAGTTTCCGCCTGGCGTACGTGGAATGTTCAGTGAGGTGAATAGTGCCCGCCACGCTCTCCGCTGACGATACCGATTCGTTCGACAACTGTCTGTCTTCTATTGGCGATCTGTCCGATGTTATGTCTAGATAAAAGAAAAAAACATGAATTTAAGTGAAGACACAATTCTTTTATAAAATACGTTTAAAAAAACCGACTTCAACCTCTTGTTTCTTTGAAGTCGGTAAGTGATAGAAAATGGTTAATTTTTTATTAGACTAATTATTATTAGCAGAAGTGTGGGAAAGCCATGCTTCGGCACGAATGGGCCGGCTCGACCGGAGTGATACCAAGGCCTCACAGAAAACCGACGGAAAGCAACGCTTGCGTTGTGTTTCGTCGTGTAAGTAAGGTTACCGAAGGCCCAATTACCCTCCCCTTCCCTAATCTTCCCAATTCCTGAATCCCCAACGATCCTCAAGGCCGGTAACACACTTGTAACGCCTCTGGTGTTCCAGGTGTCCATGGGCGACGCCGATTGCTTACCATCAGGTGATCCGTCTGCTCGTTTACCGGCCATAAAAAAAAATTTAAAACGTATTTAACTTCTATTATTTTCCCAGTTAGTTTTAAGATCGAAATAATTTGAGTATTTTATATTGAAGTAAACAAATAGAAGTCATCATTTGTCTAGAGAACTTGTTCAGTTACTTACCTTTCCCTTTATTTGCTTCTTCGGTAGCGAGTTCTGCTATCAACGCGGTATAATGATCGCTTAGGAGGAAAGAATGATAGTACTTCTCCTGTATTGTGTCTACAACTGTGTCTTGGACTTCATAGAACACTTCTGGACCTTTATCTCCTAGTAAGAAGGCTTCCATTCTCTTTCTGGTATCCTGGAATAACATACATGACATCACACTTTTTATCCCCGAAGGGGTAGACGGAGGTGAACATTTCGGTACTTAGCCACTGTGTATGTTATGAGTCCCATGTAATAGGGGGTGAGCCTATTGCCATACACCGGACACAAATCCAGACACCGCGCTACAACTGAGATTTTTTTAAATTTAGTAATACTTTGCCGGTCCCGGGAATCGAACCCGAGACTCCTTGCGCGGCAGTCACCGTTGCGACTACTCTGCCAACGAGGCAGTGGAATAACATGACAAAAAATATTATAATTTTTAGTAATATAATGAAACTAAACTTACGTAATTGCTAGAGGCAAGCTTGCACTCATGTGCTAGGTAATTTAAAAATCGGAACACACTAATATTACTATGCTACACTCAGGAATCGAACCCGAAGCCTCTGTGGTGTTTATCAGATGCACGTGCTACAATCGATAGCCAACAACAAGAAGTCAAACATTGCCTATTAATTATTTATATTGAATAAACTTTACAGTATCAATTATTGAATAAAAAAAAACACTAATGAACATGAACACAGTACCTTGTCAACTTTAATCTCAGCGCTAGGCGACCTAATGTAGGTGTAAAATATTTCGGCGCCGAGCTGGTGCCAGCTACTTCTAGGGCTGTGCCTCAACTCTTCGACGGCCATCCAGAAACCGACCAGACCCTGAGAGCACATGGTCTCTAGGAACATCGATAGATACCGCCTGCCTGTTACACTCTCCATTATTTTGTGTAGAGGTAATGTCTGCAAAGAGTTTGTAAATTATAATACAGTCATAACATAAGATAACATCACGCCTTATATCCTCGAAGAGGTGCACATTACGGCACTTAATGCCACTGTACAATGTAACACCCACTTTTCACTAGTCCCATGTAATAAGGGGTGAGCCTATTGCCATATGCCGGGCACAATTACAGAGTCTGTGCTACTACTGAGAATGTTTTTAAACACCCAGTAGTACTTTGCCCGACCAGGGAATCGAACCCGAGACCCCTTGCCCGGCAGTCGCACTTGCGACAACTCGGCCAAAGAAGCAAAGTCAAAGTCAAAGCATTTATTTCAATTAAACCATAGTTTGGTACTTTTGAAACGTCAACCAAAGCAGTCAAATAGTCAAAATAAATTATAATATGGTAATGAAAATCTATAAATATTTATAGTATAAGTGTAACTGATCTAAAGCTACAACAAAATAAAAATGAACGCGCACTAAAATTACACACATCACTTGTAGTCACAACATTATGTTTTTTTTAATTATTATTGTTAGAACCAGTTTTGTATGGAATTGATTACCATCGTTAGGTTCCTATGAAAGAAAAATTTTACAAATGCATCAGGAAAAGCCGTAATTAGCACCCATAAGAAACAAGGGCAGACCGCCAGTAATACATACTTTTATGTATAACTTACAGGGACTATAGTATACATCTATAAACGCGATCAGATGTCACAGTAAACGAGGACATGGTTACATATTTGTTCAATGACATTCTATACGTAAGCAGAAGTTCATTGGCGTATGTAATTTACATAAAATAGAATAAAATATACTATAAGACGCGTTGTGCGGTCAAGAATGAGAGACTAAGTAATCAGTATTATTACTTTATTAGTATTATAGGATTATTGTAATTACATTAAGTATTGTGAATTAGCAGTATGGATAACCTGCAACTTCAATTTTTATAAGACTCTTCTTCTGACAGTGATAAACGCAAAAAAATGTTCAGTGAAATTGGGATTGAACAAAAATCATATCACTAAGTACATAGTGTAAAACAAAGTCGCTATCCGCCATCTGTCTGTCCCTATGTATGCTTAGATCTTTAAAACTACGCGTCGGATTTTGAAGCGGTTTTTTTAATAGATAGAGTGATTCTTAAGCAAAGTTTATATTATATGCATAATACATGTGTATTGCACCCGTGCGAAGCCGGGGCGGGTCGCTAGTTCATACATAAAACATTATCTAGACATACCTTGCTGTCAGACTCTACAGTAGGAAAAGCTCCATCCCAACCAAGTTTCCTTAAAGCCGTTTCACACTCCGCCTTCGCAATAGTTAGCTGATTGATATACCGCTTCAGTTTCTTAGCATCAGCTATTTGTTGTCTACTAACATTTTGAGAACCACTCTTTTCTATAACTTCTATATCCACGCCCTTAGCTCGTTTTACATTCTGTAGAGTCGTTGCTTGCATTATTTGTGTGACTATGTCGTATCTGCAATGAAAACTTATGTTTATTTAAACAGCGTAAACATACGATACGGTAAAGAAAACATCAACGGGGAGCCTAGACTTTATAAGGCCCTGTTTCATCACGTCTGAATTTCGACTAGTCTAACTGGCAGATATTCATGCTCTAACTGGCAGGGTCCATATAAAATATGTATGTGCCAGTAAGCTTACTGAGACTTAATCAGCATTGATATAAAAGGTCATTTCATAACGCCTATTCATTTTTAGCAAGTATAGTGATCGTGTTTATTATTTTTAATGAAAAAGTCTTTGACCAGGAGTTGTACAGTTAGAGCCTATTTAAGTCAGATGCTAATCGAGGGAAGTAAAAGTACGTTTAGTTAGCATTCTTTAGTAAGTACTCATGTAGAAAGAATGTGGGTTGACGCTATTCGGAAACAGGTTTTAACTTAAACTTGAAATTTAAATTAGGTAGGTACGCATCGGTTTTATTATCGAAATTAATTTATTTAAACACTGTATGATAGATATATGAAATGTAAGTAACTCGGTCAATCAAAAGGGCTTTACAGCAATAACTATAGCATCTTGTCAATCGTGTAGATATGAAAAAAGAGTTTAGAAATCTAGAACATTTCCATCGTAACTACTCAGTTCTTCAACATCAGCCTTAATAGAGCTAGGTCATTTCCTGAAATACTGAATGGAACTGGCGACCTACATAAGTTTAGTTACCCTAGATGAATAATGGCTATACATCGACCACCAAGTACCTTATACATAGATTGGAATATCAGTATGAGACACGATAGCACTGCGACTTTCATTTACAAATGACTTACTCAAAAATACTGGTTCCATTTAAGAAAAAAAAACTAAATTGAAACTCGATAAGAAGCGTTAATTTATTATAATGTATGCGACAACTTGTGTCGGTTGACCTCTGATTAGTTTACGTTTACTATCGAATAAAAAAATAATAAAGAGGTCGATGAAGTGTGTATAAGGTAAATGTTCGAGTGAGGAAGTACGCTATAGAGATAATAGAAATTGGGATAATATATTTATGATCGTATTGTTCCCGTTCCCGGTCGTAGTTGTTTTTAGTACATAATAAAAAGTATGCATATTTAATGCAAGTAGGTATTCAGAGTGTAGGTATTCAGAGTATAGGTACTTTTTTATAATTACATCGGTTACGCTTATAAAATGATTTATTTCAAGCATTGCGGAGCTAACGCTCTCGCTGTATCGTTCGTCGTGCCAAGCTTGTTTATAAATATGAGCCCTTAGCATGGCTTGAAATAAATCGAGTTACCCCGTCAAACAGTTTCTATTTTTAATATATATATGAAAATTATTAAACAATATTTACTTTTATTCCTGTAAAGGTACACGTACACATTAAAAATCCCGTCAGTTATGCGTCCTATGTAATAGTATTTTAACAACACGAGGAAAAATATGATAGTTACTTATTTATCGTTTAACTACTACTCTACAAAAATAAAACAGGATAGCACTTGACACATATTTCCAATTGGCCAGTGAAAGTTAAGCCACATTATGAGTGTGCACTCACCGTAACCGTTTCAGTGTGTCGACATTATTACAGCTGTTGATCAGGCGTATGTAGTCCTCGAACGTTTTGGCGTACTCGTGCGTTCTCACGTGCATCGCATCTACTTCTTTTTGGGCCTCAAGATACTGTATAATCTTTTGATTTATGTAGTCCGGTTCTGTCACTAAATCTATTGCTGGTTGTAGTACTGAAAAAATACAATAGTAAATAATATGAAGAAGATTAGAAGGTACCTTCGGGCGACTCATAAGCTTTGTTGCTACAGATAGTGTTTGGTACGGTAATATTGCAGAAATACATGATTAGATGGATGTATGTAACTGTGTATGTTGAGCCGAGAATGGATAACGTAAAAAATATGTTAGAAGTAGGGTTTTCCAAACTATAGGTCGCGACCAATTGGCAAGCGAATTTTTAATGGGCCTTATCTGTAGAAACGCTCTAACTGTTATCAATTAACTTTTTATCAACATTGGTAATGGTTTAATTCCCTGAATGTGGGTCCTGAGTTTGGGAACTTGATTTAGATGAGTACATATTAACATACAATTTTGAGAACCACTGTATTAGAGGAAATCTGAAAATGGCGCCGCCGGAAGCGATAGCAGAAAATGAATCGTATCTCATGGAATGAAAAATATATATATCTCATTGAAAAAAATGAGGGCATTTTGTGCAGAATAATATAAAAAATCCTATGTAACATGCGATATGGGAAAGAATCAAAAATTCTGTAAAGCACTTTAATTATACGCGTCTAACTTGACGTCTTAACTTACTTAACTTAAAAACAAGGAAACAAATATTTTATTTTTAATTTTCATAAACGATTTTAAATGGGTGTAAGATGTTATGGAGATTTTCTTACTGAATATTTATTGCTTTTATAATGGATCCAAGAATCTTTGTTAACATTTGGCAGACACAAGTGGCAGATATTTAGTTATGACTCTATATAGGCCCAAAACTGGCACTAGCACTTCTTATTAAAAACAGAGTAGTTAAAAAAACAACAGTTTTAATGACTAATTCAAAAAGAAAATAAACACCCTACAACAGACTCACCTTTACATGCCAGTATTTCCCTCATGAGATGGGATGCAGGAGCCAGTGAATAGCACCGAGGCATCAGGAACATGATAATGAGCTCACTGATCTGTCTCAAGTAATGCAGCTCTGTGTCATAGGACATCAAGTGAGGAGCCAGAGCAAACACTGGTGGTTGATTTAGTTCTATTCTGTAAATTTTAGGTTTAATACTTAAAATAATGGGTGTAAGAAAACTACTAAAAGGTGAGCTCTAAGGTACGAAGGTACTTTTATTGTATTTATTATCATTTTGTACCTTTTCAACAAGATTATAATTACAAATATTCTTAACACATTTATATAGGTATTTATTTAAGCACAAATCAATTGTAAGTGAGAAACCACATATTATTTTATAGAATGTATTTTTAAATTGCTGATTTATTACGATTTATCTAGTATCACTAGGACACACATTTAAAATCAAAGTTTTAGTGTTAGTGATCTTTATAACTTGATGAATAATAAATAAAAATTAACTTACGCACAACTCCTAGCAATCCTTATTCTTTCAAAATGTTGTGTTATCTTAGTGACCATGTCACTGGCCAGTAACTTTTCAGCATCAACTCGCAACAGTCTCTCATACAGGTTCTGCACACCCCCCCACACATGCTCCTTGAACTTATCAATCACTGGTTCAGGCTTATGGGACAACTCTTTGAGCCAACGGGCCACAAAGTCTCTCAGAACATAGTCTATTAATAATTGTAGCTGGCTGTCAACAGTGCGCCCAAATATTACAGGTAAATGGGTCTTTTTAGTTGTGTGAGGCCAATTTGATTGATCTTCCTGTTAACAAAATATTTAAAGTGAAAACTGATCCATTTAATTCTGATTACTTTAAAAATAAATTAACACCACCTACCTTCAAAGTCTCCTCTATCTGTCGAACATCTTTTTCAACTTTATCTAATAAAAACAACGATGTTTGGTGCGGAGAAGATAACGCAACATGACCCCAAAGCGTTAACGCAAAAACTGCTATCACTATGAATAAACTAAGACACAATAAATAGAACAGGCACCAGATAAATGGAAAATACCACACCAAAGATAGACATAATGGTGCTACACAAACTGAGATCCACCTATACATCTTTTTCGCTCAAATTAGCTAAACATTATTTTTGCGAAAATGTAAACAACTATGAACGATTCTAATACGCATTCAGAAAACTGTGTAAAGCAATAGATATTTGCGGTTGTGTCACACTGTCTTTAGTACATGTTTTTTTGTTGTAATGTTCTGTATTGAAACAAGATTTTAATAGATTTTTTTCTATAAAACAAGCTTTGAACTCCTTCCGTCCATTAATCTCCCTTTGGTTCATTAAAATACGCGAGGCGAGTTGTCATTTTTTATATTTACTTTTCATAGAAATTAAAATGAGATGCAAGGTACAATAATCACATAAGAGTTACTTAAGTGAGAAAGAGACAAATATAATCTCACAACTATTACAAAAATCAACAGTTGTTATGTCATTTTGACTTTGACATTAGTCGACTAGAGCTATGAAACTTGTAGTTAATAACTTGTAGTTTGCTTGTAGGACCTAATCTTTTTAGTCGATTATTTTATAACTTCATCCAAAATGACGTAATGGATAGACATAAGAATGTCATTGTCAAGTGTCAAACGCAAACGTCATAACCATAACTCTTAACAATCAAAAGTTAGCTTTGCTATCGAACATTACTGGAAGTATTGATAAAACAAAATATTATTAAATATAGTAATTGACGGTTTAACACTATAAAAATTATTGTAAATCTTAAAATTGAATGGAACTTTTTCATACATAATAACCTAATTCATCGGCTCATTACTCAATGTTGTGTAATTTAAAATAAGTTGATAAGCTGAAATTGTCTTGAATTTCTGTGATTATACTTATGTTTTTACAATGGCTGTAACAGAAGTTACGTACCTGGTTGTTGGTGGAGGCATTGCCGGTGTAACTTGCGTGGAAACTTTAGCCATTCTGCACCCTGAGGAAACACTTGCCATTATAACTGCTTCTTCTTTAGTAAAAAATGTAAGCAATGTGAGTTTCTTTGCTAAGACCATTGTAAAGTTTGATGTAAATGAAACAGAAGCAAGCTCTTTGATGAGAATTCATCCAAACCTTAAAATTGTCTTTGATTCTCTGAAACATGTGGATACACACAATCAAATTGCCTACACTTACGCTGGTGATGAAATTATATATAAAGTTATGTGTATTTGTACTGGTGGAGTACCTAAACTGATAAGAGACTCTGATAAAAGTAAGAGGATACTTGGAATCAGAGATACTGAGTCCGTAAAAGAATTTCAGGAAAAGCTAAAAACAGGCCGGAGGATGGTTGTAGTTGGCAATGGTGGTATAGCATCTGAGATAGTACACGCTACATCTGGCATACAGAAAGTATGGGTAATTAGAGATGACTACATATCAGCCACATTTATAGATCCTGGAGCAGCAGAGTTTTTCCAAAACACATTTAAAAATAGAGAGTCGCAGCCCAATCAAAAAACTGTTATCAGAAGACATGTATTTACTGAAGAAGACCAAGTGGTTTCTTTAAATAAAGATCTTAAGTCTGCAGCATTAGGGCCAGATTGGTACAAAAAACTAGAAGGAATTAAAGATGACAAGGGTGTACAAGAACTTGAGATTGTATACAAAGTTGAGATAAGTTCTGTTGAAGAGAAAAGTGATAAAGAGTTTCCACTTGAAGTTGTGCTTTCAAATGGTAGAAGTATTGAGTGTGATTTTGTTATTTCTGCAACTGGTGTTGAACCTGCTGTAAACTTCTCATGGGATAAAGAACCTGTGAAAGGTCCAGAAGGGGGTTTGGCTGTAAATGAGTTCCAAGAGACATCAATAAAGAATGTTTTTGCTGCAGGTGATGTTGCACATGCATCATGGGAGCTTGCTGCTCATTGGTTCCAGCTCAGGCTATGGACTCAAGCTAGACAAATGGGAGGAATGGCTGCTAAGGCAATGCATGGTAGAGTTGTCAATGAAGAAGTGTTGCAAGATTTCTGCTTTGAACTATTTACACACTGCACCACTTTATTCGGATATCAGGTTATTTTACTAGGGAAGTATAATGCCCAAGGATTAGGGAATGATTATGAGATATTGCTTCGAATGACTCCTAATCATGAATATATTAAGCTAGTCCTACAAAATGGAAAGATGCAGGGAGCTATTCTTATTGGAGAAACAGACTTAGAAGAAATGTGTGAGAATTTAATCCTAGATCAGTTGGATTTGACACCTCTTGTAGATGATATTTTGAATCCAGATATTGATATTGATGACTATTTTGATTAAGGAAAACTGTGATTATTAGCTGTTATAACAGTATAAATGTTACTAATATTGTTATTATTATTTTTATTTATACAGTTATGTAAATAATAAAATACTTGATTTATAATGACTTTCTTTCTTCTGCTCTTGATACTTAAGAGAACTAATGTGGTTTCAGCATTTTACATGGAGAGAATGTGCTATAACACTGCTGAAGGTATCACTACAATCTTGCATTGATGAATACACTAAATTATAGGAACCCAATACATAAATAAAGATTTTGTTTTAATCCCTTGAGCTGTAATTACCTACTGTCGTAAATGTTATTCTATAATTTTAGTTTATATGTAAGCTGTAAGTGACCAGCTTAGTAGACTTAGTTTATTCGTATAAACACCCAGGAACCGAACCCGCACTAAATAATTCGAATTCGGTAGCTGCAGTGTTGTACTACATAAAAAATAAATAAACACTTCTCACAACGTCTTATGACATTGGTGGTGATAATAGCATTCGATCGATTTAATACTACTTTTTGTTCTTCCGGCATATATCGATAATCATAATTCGAAAATTGCATAAAATTGATTTTTATTCGTATTCTTCATTACTATTGTCAATTGAGTTGAGTAATGAACCATCGTGAAATCAATGTTTCATCAAAGTTCCCACAGACTAGGTACTAACATTACCCATTTATTACTTCAACTCTTAAATCTACTTTTAACAAACGAGAATAAAAATATTGGATACTCTATTTGGTAAATTATGGTCGATTGGAAATTATTTTATATTTTTTATTTCCTAATTTACTTATTCCATAACTGCATACCATAATAAAAGTAGTTTAAAACATTTTTTAAATCCGTATTTGAATCGATATTCGGTATCAGAAATTATAATCGAACTCGAATCGCAACACTATTATCGTCAAATGATCGAGTGAGTCGAGTCGTCAAAAATTATTTACAGATTTGACGTGTTCCGTGTATTGTACGCTGCGTGCATTGTTTTTCTCGATTAATTACTTGCTTTAAATTTAAAACTAAAGCATAATTTCAATACATTCAGTTGTAACGTTTTTAACCGTGTAAGCAACAATAATATTCATCGATAATCAAATAAGTGTATCGTTTTGTGTGTGAAAGTTAATTTATCGGGTCGTTTTATCCTTTGTTTCTGCTAATCCACCGACGTAGTATAGTTGAAGAATAATCAAGATGCCTATATTGTTTAGTGTCGTTGCCCGAGGTACAGTGCTTCTAGCTAAATATGCGTCGTGTGCTGGAAATTTCACAGAAGTTACGGAACAACTTCTATCGAAGATACCTCCACATGATGATAAGTTGACATACTCTCACGGAAATTTTCTGTTTCATTACATTGCGGAAAACAAATTGGTTTATTTCTGCATCACTGATGATGTAAGTACAGTTTGTTGGTGCCTAATCTCTAATGTTCATATTTCTGGACTTGTAGCCTAAGTTTTTAATTAATATTGCTTCAGAAATTCCAACGTTCGAGAGCATTCTTATTCCTAAATGAGATCAAGAGGAGATTTACGACCGCGTTTGGCGACACAGCCCAGACAGCCATACCTTATGCCATGAATGGTGAATTTGCCCGAGTGCTAGCAACCGAGATGAAACACTACAGTGACTCTAAAGACTTAGACACCATATCTAGAGTGCACGGAGAGTTGGATGAACTCAAGAACATAATGGTTAAGAATATTGGTAAGTAGATAGAATTCAACTGATTCTAATTGTATCAAACAACTTGAGTCCAATTTGTTTTCTAATTGGACATTTTTGACTCTTAAACCAATTTTAATTCATCTCAATCTCAATGATATATATAAGTTTGGGACAAAACATGAATATTAATATTCAGTGTATTTTCTAGTAGGTAAAACCTTGACAGAAATAGATTTAATTAGCTAAAAATCTATACATTTTTAATGGCAATAGAGTTACAAAAGTAGTTGAATTGTCATAGATATATTTGAGTGTAAATACTAATAAATTAATGGTGTTTTATAACCATTAACAAATGATATTTGACCTATTAAAGTTAATGACCCTAATTTGTATGTTTTGAAAACAATCAATTAATTTTTCTTCTGGTACTGATAATAATAGTTTATTTCATTATTTGTAAAAATTATGTTATCAGCCCTTATCTGTGTTTGCGTGCATTATACCTAGCTGTGGTGTGTGTCATTAGCATCATAACATGTGTGATGTAGAGTGCAGAGGTGTATTTAGTCATAAGTATGATCAACATATACACGCCTAGATTTAATTATATGTGGAATTATTCATTATTTGTTTACTTTACACGACAGACCAATGCTACACATTCATCCATAAATTACATTCAGTAATTACTATCTTGCACAGATATTTCAGTTTAATTCTGTATACATCATTGAAATATACCTACTTGCAAACTTGAAAATGTTGAAAAGGATACAAAATAAGGAAATTACAACAATGAAATCTTATTCTGCTTTGACCTACTATTTCCTATCTTAGTACAGATTTCTATTCACACAATAGATAAACAATGAATCATACAATTCAAGAATGTTAATAGGTATTGTGTGTGTATCGCTTATCTCTCTAAAACCGTGATATATTATTTTTGCATGTTAAAACCCATAGAAAACAAAATGCAGAATTTGTTAAAAATTATAGTAACGATGGTAGATACTAAGGTAATAAGTACTTAACATAGCCTTGGATATAGTTTAATGGATGCAACAAATCATACCTTTGAAGAGGCATTCAAGGCCTCACTATTCATGTAATGATTCAGTCATGTTTACATGATCTTAGATTATTGTAATTATGAAAGAAACTTCATTACTTCGTTTGAATAATCAATACATAGTATAAAACAAAGTCGCTTTCGCTGTATGTCCGTATGTATGCTTAGATCTTTAAAACTACGCAACGGATTTTGATGTGGTTTTTTTTAATAGATAGAGTGATTCTTAAGGAAGGTTTGTATGTATAATACATGCATATTGCACCCGTGCGAAGCCGGGGCGGGTCGCTAGTAATAAATAATTGTTTGCATTGAATGTTTGGAACCATAATGAAATGGCAGTATAAAAGTGCACATTTATTATTATGCTGTTGTTCTTAATAAATATTTAAATAAACAATTGTGTTATTTGCTCGAAACAAAGAAAGTCTCATTTGCAGTGATTTGATATAACATAGTTAAAATCATGCATTCACAATACACAGATGTAATGTCCATGTTTAAGACTTTGACTGCCAATAAAAAACTGTTGAAGGTAAATCCTCCGCTAACGCCGGTCACCGGTGACCCCCATGGCGTTTAAAATGTTAATTAACTCGTCGAGTACCGGTTTTGTAGACACAATTATAGAACAATAGGTTGCGGTCACCGGTGACCGCTTGGTGTTTGACAGTTTAAGATGGGTAGGTAGGTGATTTTTTTGGTAGACAAGTATTTTTGTTTTTACCCGCCAGATCACACTACTGAAGCATTACATCTTTTTCTTCTGATGTTTAAATTAATTAATGCTAGTTAGTCCATGCTACAGAAACACTCATTGGTTCTCAATCAAAAACACAAATCATGGAGAGTCCTTGATTAACTCCCTTAAATAAAATAAAAAAGTTTAAAACAATGTAGGTAGTTAAATAGAAAAATCCTAAAATTTGCTTTGTTTTCTTCTATTTACTATTTAGTTGGTTAAAAGTTGTTAAATGAATGAACTATTTTAATTAATTACAGATACTATGGCGATGCGCGGGGAGAAATTAGAATTACTAGTGAATAAGGCAGACAATTTAGCAACCGGTGTAAGTATTTAACTTATTAATTAGTTTATCAGAATGTACACTTAGAAACAAACATTTAATCACTTTCCTGTTTTGGAATAATATCAAATGATAGATATCTATGTAAAAAAGCAACATAAAATATATTGTTTGTCACTGGCTACCTCATTGATATGTATCTCCTACCTATTGAATGCAAGGACATTTTATCATTAACTGGTTTATATGAGATGAAACAAATAAACATAATTTTAACCAATAAGAGGAAAGATTGTTATACTGATAAGATTTGCTTCATGAAAAGAAATCAAATGATAGTTTAATAAGTAAATGATTGCTGTTCCAGTCCGTCTCCTACCGCAACACATCGAGAACACTGCAGCGGTCCCTGTTCTGGAAGAATGTGAAAATGTATGTCATAATGGGAGGAGTCGCAGCCCTAGCGGTTTACCTGGTCGGAGCAATGGCTTGCGGTGGCCTCAAGTGGGGCAACTGCGTCTAATCTACACATAAACATGTATATACATTTATAATACTAGAACAACACATCAATGGTACTACTCGCCATTCATATCTCTATTTTGTACCTCATAAGAGCGATATTCGAAATGCAAGTTGTACCATTGACGTACGACAATTAAACGTATCAACATTAAAAACGACATTAAAATAATTCCGATACAGTTCTGAAACGTTATTGTTCTGTGACTAGTGTCGAATATTTCCCTTATCATAGTTTTAAATTTTTACCGGGATATATATATAAATAGTGTGGACGTGGTTTTAAGTCATGGTTTATTTATTGTAAAGAACAAGGCTTAAAATAGCTGCGTCATTCTTTTTGCCAAATGTATCAATGTAATTTGTCGACCAACTACAAAAACTGATATCTATCAGTTTTTATTGCCATGAAATCCGTACTATATGTCTTATCAGTAAGGTGACTCTTCTCGTCCTTACTAGAATATTTCATATTATATAATCGCGTCAGTTATTTGTAATCTGATATTACACATGTATGTCTAAATTAGAGATAGTCCAGTAGGTAAACCATTATCCAAATTTATGGCAGTCACAACCCATTTATGGTCAATTTAATCTTTGTCTAAAATGATTAGAGATAAACATTTGATAAGAACCTTGCAAATAAATTAGTTTTCATGGCATACAACAAAATTAAAAATAAACAAGGTCATTGTCCGTTTGCGTTATACCGTGTTTGGCTGCGTCATTCGAGTTATTGATTTTGAATTCAATATTTTTAATTTAAATAATGCGTTTCGAGAAACTGTAATAATATATTTTTTTAATAATAATTTGGGAGCAAACCATCAGCTGGATCTCATAAGAATTCTTCTAACCAGCCAGTCTTCTTAATTCTTCAAAAGGAATTAAGAAGACTGGCTGGTTAGAAGTTTGTTTGCGCGGGAAGAAAGATTTACGCCCGAATACTAAAGGCTACTCGCGCTTAAGTACATATGGTTCTGTCACTACCAATTCTTTGTAAAAAATGACAGAGATAACACGTTATTGAAATTGATTTTTTTAAAAACAAGAAAACGAATGAAAAGAGGCAGAAAGCAAAATACATACAGCCGTTTTCTAATTAAATTATTCTGTTTAATGGTTCCAAAACACATGCTGTACATGTACTTATAATATTGTTAAGATATGAAAAAATATTTTAAATGCCATTTTCGGTTATAACAATTTTGCCAAACATCTGTTTAAATATAAATAATTTATTAATATATTCAATGAATTATATTTACATTGTTATTCAGCATTTTTTTTAAGTCTTGTTGCTTGCCCGACTATATTTATGGTTTTATCTCGTTAACTTGAAGGTCATATTTTTTAGGACATTTCCTGATTCTTCTGAAAACGTGCTGTGACGGATAACGCGCTCTCCGATTTTTTTTTTATTTTCCGAATTTAAAAATTATTCAGCCTATTAGGAAGTTATTTATAGAACGTAATTTTAAACCAGTGTTAGAATTGTTTCCATGATCCTTATAACATGTCAAGTTGAAAGTATTTATTGGGAAAGTTGGTCTTTGCACTGTTGAGTGGGTGCAGCCCAATTCACTGTTTGTTCTCACATGTTTTAGTATAAATGTAAGTACCCATATATTTATCAATTTTCAATTCCAGTTTGATTCAGCCTAAATATCTTCGGGCTTACCGAAACTGACTATTGTCTTAGAAAACTAAAATATAATAATCTGACGAAGGCTAGGGTTTTATCTGTCTTATTTTGTGTTGTATTAAATTCTTTATGGTAAAATATTATTATTTTAGAATAAGATCATACCAAAATATTGAAAAAATCAAATATGCATGAAAAATTATAACTTAAGGTCCCTATATTAAATACCAATTGTCGTTGATTTTTGATAATGATAAAAAATGTTAGTATTGTACTAGGTTAATATATTAGGTAATATTTATGATTAATGCCACACCTGTGTGATATCTACAGAAATAAAAACTATATTCTTGTTAAATTAATTATGTTATACGGCTTAATTACGGTTTGACGAGGTAAGTGGACTGGTTGCAAGCTACGCTAGGGGCTTAAATTTATTGTTCGACACACGATGTTGCTAATGTCGCGCAGCCAATAGACAGTTACCGCGCCAAGTGAATCGTTAACCCGTAAACATAGTTAATCTCTCATGTGAATATGTCTCATGAGAATTGTAATACGAGAAATGTTTTCATGTTATTTCCTAGCTAAACACATTTTCTGATATTCGCCACTCTATTTAAAATTCCAGAAATCCAAGGATATTAAATTGAATATATTTCCATCCAAGAAAACAATAATTAAAATACTTATTAGAGCTATTACATTGTAAACACAACTGATATTAATCAAGGCATACGTTTAACATGATTATGTCTATATAAAAGAACTATTATAAAATATAAACTCAGCTTGTATCTCGAGTCTAGCATAGTGTTCCGTATACTACACCAAACATGTAAACACTTGTTTTAATAAAGACTAAAAGTATTGTGATATTGAGTGTATAATTGAATTATGTAAGTATAATAATTTGTTTGATATGTATAGAGATATGTTATAAACTTTATAGGCTACTCTCATTGTTTCATTTTCAATAAAGCACCGTTCGCGTGTCGGACGGTGGTAATCCCATCTAGTTCCTGTTTCGATAATGTAGTCAATGGCACCGCTTCCCGAATATCGGGTGGCGGGTGGTCGTGTGAGATTGATCCCGCAGTTGGCCGGTGCGAGGGTGCATCCCCCGCCCTTCCCGCGGCTCGTGCGTTCGCGGCGAGCGGCAATCGCGCGCCAACCTCTGCCGCGGGAGGGCGCCGCCGACGCCCGTCGCGTTCCTATATCACGCACGTGCTTGCTACTACAACGTTATCGTGTATCGGTGTGAGTGACTGCCCGTTGAATTATTCCGTGTCAATACGCCTCCGCCTCTGCCGGTGCGATGCGTGTCTAGCATACGTATCGCACGATTGGTTGTCGTGTGTAAATGAATATGTTTGTTCTTGGGCATTATTGTTGTTCCCGAGGGATCGGCGGCGATTGATATCGCTCACGGATGTGGTATTAATATTAATTTTGAACGTGCCTTATCATTATTATTGAATATACTAAAACGGAATTCATGTTCGGCGCAAGATTCTCAGCCGTTCTTATTAGATTCTATTATACTTCATATCCTTTTGAATTGTTGTCAATATTGTAAGAAGCGCGCGTAACACAAGAACCCCTCGTTCAAGGATAATTTATATTAATATTTATTAATCCGGTCTGAACGCATTTGTTATGATGGCTGTTTGTACTTTATTGTACCGTACCGTTGACCAAAATGAGAGTGAAGATATATTACCGGAGATACATATTCATAACATACCTGCCGTACAAAGCGTCGACGTTTGATTGATAGCACCTACTTTTAGCTGATTCGGTGGTTGTATAAGTAATTGAAAAGAAGCCGAATGCGAATGCGACTCACCGCTGGGTAGGCTGACGCACACACAGCTAGTGGTATGGCAGTGTGCGTCGGTTATTAGTGGCACAGGAAGCGGTGTCGATTTTAGGGAAGGTTACATTAGGAACGGTTCACAGGTCATTGTTCTTTTTACATAGAACCGACCTTTTTTGTAGTGCGACAAGATAAATTGCTATTGTTTGTGTGTGAGCCTTTTTTGTACGCACGATGAAGATAGGGAATATTTTCATCATCTACTGAGCTTTCTGAATGCGTCTTTTTGTTTTGTAATTTAAGTAACAATAATGTAATGCTCAAGAACAAAATATCATTTGATTTCAAGTTCAACGTTCGACAATGGGATAACCGCACTTTTTGGGATGTCGCTCAAAATTAAAAAGCGATGGTTCTGACTGACTCTTTATTGTGAAAGATGAAGGAATAGAACAGTGTGACAAAATGGATGACAGTTCACCGGACTTGTCGCTGAAATTGCGACGAGGGTCCAGCGACTCTCGCGAGTCGTTTTACATGGACTTCGCGCAAGGTATCGACTCGGACATCGAAGAGGTGACGACGATTGAGCGTGTGATTCCTGAGCATCCGGGAGGGAGGACGGAGGGTGATGCCGACACTCTGGCGACGCCGTCTGGTCTAGAGGAGAACAAGGAGTTGGGACAATGGTGCGTTTGTGTTTTGTTTTCGTTATATTCAACAAATTGATTGCAATTTTTGACAGCTAATCAATCATTTTAGTCAAATTTGGAAAGTTTTCTTTTGTTAAACTCTGATTTTTGTGGTGTATCATTCTTGAACCACTTTTTTACGTTGTTTGTTTTCTGACGCTTTTTTGTTACTTATTCAACATAAAAAAGTTATTGGTTGGCTCCAAAGACCTCCCTGACTGAACATGCAGGATGTGTCCACGTAATTAACATCTCACCTGCATTCAACACATTGAGCAATGTGAACAATGCCGCGTAAACGGGTAAAAGTAGCCTTTGAATAAACACCAGTTGACACGATTTGACGCGAACAATCATCATTAATTGCCTTTAAACTGTTAATCGGTATAGGAGATTATTTTGAAGTTACCTTTATTACTGAAATTGTCTGGTCAATTAAGCTTCTGTCATAGAATAAGTAATAACCACTTCTGTCTTGAGAAATAAGAAAGAGGTACCAAATCTATCTAGTCGTAACTTACAGGTAGGTAATAATATAGCTTTCTTTCATTACTTGTTCAAGAAAAGGTAAAGGTTTGTATCCAAATATGTAATAGGGTTTCCTATATTATGAGATAGGTAGGTAAGTCGTTATTGGTTGGCACATAATAAAACACCTATTTGGTATGCGTGCAACATTTTGCATAGCCCTAATTCATACAATTTTGTGAATTTTGTCCCAATTTTCGACAGCAAAATAACATGATCGGGTTGTTACACACATTTACATAATCATGATTGACTTTCCTCTATATGCTTCCTTCAAATACACGTGTAAGCATCATAATAGATATAGGGTGACATTTGACGTTTTGCAGAAATCTGAGTGATGGACGGGTCTTAAGACCTAACAAGGAATAATTTGATGAATCTCGTAGGCTTAACTTTTTTCTTTGATTGACATAATATCTTCTTAGGGAACTGAGAAGGTAAGTCGGCACGTGTTAAGTAAGACTACCTAACTAATTTAGATTTGTCTAGGCAACGGCAATTACTGAAACACAACAGAAAGAATCAGGATAACTCCTTAAATATAGCAAATTGCAGAAAGTCTGTTCTAAAATAGGTGTGATGTTAGTCCGACTTAGTCCCTAATTCATAATTACAGCATCGGAACTTTCAGACCAATTTCTGTCTTCGAACTAACTTGCTAAATGGCTGTTCATACGTAAAACAACATAGTTTTAGTGAGTACATTCCCCAAACAAAGCAGTGCAGTGGGAAACCCGAGACGGTTTGTCTTTACACAGATACCGACCGCCAGACGTCTAGCCTAGGACCGTCTACTTCAATCTCGCTCGCAATAATTATGAGATTCACTTAATCTACGGAACCGGGCCAGTTAATCTAAGTTGAGATAAATTCTATTAAGTTCACGGCTTGATTAATAAAAGTCGTTAAAAGAATAACTAACTAAGGAGGACCGTGAAGTTACTAATCTTTCTTGGTGTTAGAACTTATTTGTGAACAGCTCCTGATTCTCGAAGTCCGAATTTGGAAGTAATAAACTATCCAATCCTGAACCGTGTCTTCGTGTAGGTTTTATCTTTTGACGAAAATTGCCAATTTAGACATGGCTTATTAAATAATGAAAGGCATCCAATGATGCCCTGAATAGACGGATATATGTGTTCCGTCTATTTTGTTCACCACTTCAAATAAATTCGAAACAATGCATGTAAAACTAATAAACTAAGTATTTACACAAATCCCATATCTCACCAACAATTTACGTATCCCAATAAATAAAAGGTTTCGATGGCGACACTTAAATCATTTCGTCTGTCCAATTCCATCGGTTTATTTTAGAGTTGTGTTTGATTTGTGTTCGCTACATTTGATTTTCATACATTTTTAACTAGCCTGTGACACCTGCAATACTGGGGAGCATAAAATGATGCTCTATTTATTCAAATTGCTCTGAGGGTTACACACGTATTACCTATCCATAGCATCATATGTGTTCAAAATTGGTTATAGGTAAGATAGGTGGGTGCCTGTAGATAGCTTATTTCATACTTAGGTACCCCTTTTTACCAATTTCGATGTTTCTCTTTATAAATAGGATGTATGAGTCGTTTTAGTATCCTTATTCATAGGTAGATTGATTTTTACACTTCCAACACTTATAGGTGGATGTTTCTCTTCCTCATGAAACGCCAACGAAAATCTTATTTTTCTGAGAATACTTATATTTGAGGTACTTACCTATTCTTTCCCAATCTATGCTTCACCTCTTTCAAAATAAATCCTTCGGACAAAATCACTCACTTGTCCTCGATTTTTAACATCTATTCCAGTTAGGTAAACACAATTGGCGAATGGAGGAAAAGGGCCGAATTTCTTGGGTCAATCGTATTACGGGTACGTAGTAAAGTACAAAGAAATGAAGCGGAACATGAATGTGTGTCAACGGGACCCGTCAGACGGGTCGCTATGGGCTTTCTCTTGAACACCCCGGGGTCAGATAACAGACCACATGTCGTGCGGTTGCGCACCCGGCCTGACTAACGTCTGTCAAGCTTCGTTCTAAGAAGCTGCCAGTTGCCCAATTGTGTAACTTGTTATCTGTTTAATTGAATTGCTTTTCGATTGTTTGTTTTTATTGTTCTATTAGTTGCGGTTGTAAATTTTGAGGATCATCTTTATGTTTAATTGTTTTGTATTGTTTAACTCGTCGAGTACCGGTTTTGTAGACACAATTATAGAACAATAGGTTGCGGTCACCGGTGACCGCTTGGTATTTGACAGTTTAAATAAGGTTTTGATTTTGAAAATGTAGTGATCTACACATTGTTCGTTGAAAGGCGGCAAAGTGTTGTCAAAATTAGTCCGTGATACTATAAAATTAATCATGTGCTTACCTTCTATATGCATATAGGAAAAGTGCAGACAAACTGCTATCATTTAATAATATATACCTACCTTCATAAAATGTAGCCGTAGGAATTGGCGCCACCACCAAGTTTGGCATCAAATTACCGACGTAACGGGAATATATGAACTGCTTGAGTATCACTCGTGCCGTGCCGATAATGGTGGAGGATATAAGTAGGTACCAGACATATGTATGTAGTTCTGAAAGACTTATAAAGTTGACTCATTTTGTAGAAAATAAAAGATGACAAATCTCGTCATTCTTAGCTTTATTTCTCAGAACAACTTGAACAGGACAAACGTCTACTTTTCCAATTTGTCTAGGAAATAAAAATAAAGCATCTTTATTAGTTCTTTCGAGAGACGTTAAATTTTACAAGCTTTGTGCCGCCTCCAGTTCTCTCCGACACCCGCCCCTCGCCGTCTCCCCACAGAATCACGCCTGTCCTCAGATCCACAGCGTACAATACTTTAACACTTCCATTCCCACTTTTCGTACGGAACCGTAATAAAGATACAATGCTCGAAAATAGACCACCGTCGTCGGAATTAAAAAGCGTGAATGGCGTCCCTTTAATGACTTTTTTACCGTCACTCGAACTGAATAATTTTGTCGTTTCGTTCCAATCATTCGTGAAGGGTTTTATTAGGGAGTCATTCCATTTTATTTTCATGCTGTCGAATAGATAGGTTCGTCTAACTACCAATTCGGAGTGTATGTCCTCGTTATATAGAAGAGGGACGATTTAATGAACCTTAGTTGCGTCCGTTAACTGAAAAGTTGCAGTTTCAAATTGCAATTTAGTCTCATGGTGTTTTGAATTTGTAAACTTAGGTACATAAAATGTATGGTAAAAGCAGATACATTTTATTAAAAAAACATTATAATTACTGTCAAATCGAGAACACAAAATGAGGTGCTCTAAAACGCCCAGACGACAAGTTCATACAAAATGTATTGCATTCATAAAATGCATCAATATTAGCATGCAGTAACTAAAGTACCTATGTAGATCTAGGTAATATAGACACCCCTTTGTCATTTCGCAGTTACAGGCTAACATACCGCTTAACCACGACACACACTCAGTTGTCAGTTACCCGTCGGATGCCGTATACTGATATTCCAGTGAATGACTTTATGCGGACATTGAGTTTCGCAGCTCGGTGGATCATTGTCGTTGTACCTGTTTACCATTCGGTTGTGATCTATGTATAAGTACTAACCTACGTATATTGTAGGTGAACATATGGTATTTGCGAAGGTTTTTGCGAATAAATGATCTGTCGTCGTCGGTATTTCCGAACCGATAAGTCTTTCAAACGTCCAAGAAGAGTGTATTCCTTTTTAAAAGGCCGGTAACGCACCTGTGACTCCTTTGGTGTTGTGTTTGGTGACACGGGTGTCCATGAGCGGCGCTGATCGCTTACCATCAGGTGATCCGTTTGCTCGTTAGCCTCATATTCCATAAAAAAAATCTAGGGCATGGTTGGTCTAATTCATTAAACAATTTTTAGGTACTATAAAGTAGAAAGGTAAGAGAAACTGGAGCAATGATTAAGTTTCACTCTATCAAAGGCAATTTAGGGTAATCTTTCATCATCATCACACGTTAGAATACACCTACTACTGCACAAACAAAGATCATCCCTCGAGATGTTACTTTTGGTACCAATTAGATATTCAACATGGAGGTTTCGAAGTAACCTTTAGTATCAACTATCTATTTCATGAACTGACTAAGACATAACCGCGATCTAGTGCCGCATAGAGAAACTCTGCTAACATCTCTAAAGAAAGATTTTCTGTTGAAGACAATGGGCAAAATTCCTTACCTTTGTCTACAGTTAATACAATTATTCTCCCTACAAACTTGTTAGAAATGTTTCGTTACTATTTGTGGTCGTTCCTCCACTAATAGCGCATAGTTCCATTGAACGTGTTATCGACTGCCAGTTTATGGTAATTACCTTTCTTACATGCAAATAGTTTGAAGAAGCTCCACGTCTATAAATCTGAAGTCTATCGTCAGCTGAAAATGAAAACTTGTTGAATTATTCGTTTTACCTTTGGTATTTGC